TGTGTGGTGCTCCACATGTCTGCAGAGCCATCCCCCTGGCCGTGCTCCTGGCATTGCCCGCTGCTGCCCAGGGCCTGGATGCTCTGCCTGTCATGGCGCGATTCATGCCAGACAGTGCTTTCATCTCTCCTTTGTCTGTCTCATTCCCTGACTGTTCTAATTGCTTTTTCTAGTGCTAGATTGTCCTCCTTTAGTAATTTTTCTTGTATTATTTTTGTGATTGATCCCATTAAGTTCTTATCCTTCAGTATGTCATCCCCAGCTTTGAAAGCAAAGTCATTTGTTGTCAGCTGCAGCTGAATTACCTATGCATTAATTGCCTTTGTAGGTCCCAGATTTTGCTCATAGATGGCTTTTTCCTTTGTATGAAATATTTCACTTTGAAAAATATTCAGCACCAGCTCAAACAGCCTGCTTGGATTTTTGCTGCTTGCTTCTCTGAGCTTGTCATTAAGACACCAATCTCTGCTGATGTTATTAGCAGTTTGCACAACACATATTACAAAATTAACAGTCTTGAAACTGCAGAAAAGTTGTCTGTGTCAGGCTCTGCAAAGATTAACTTTCTCCTGGCCCTCTTTCTGTGCTGCTTTCTGTTCAAGACACACAAGGGCATATTTTTTGTGCTAGCCTGCTTGAAAGCCATTACTGATGGATTTTCTGTGCTGTCACTGCTCTGGATTTATCCTGCAAAGAGCAATAAAGACTCAAAGGAGATAGAAATATACTAAATACAGTTTAATGACTTTCCCCTACTCTTAGCAGCTCAGCTGATGATACAACAAAAAGCACCTTTGACATTCCCGTGCCTCTGAGAGAATGAGCCCCCCCTTACTCACCAGGCTGCAAATAAGACATGTCCACGACCTTCTTTAAAAGTGGGTGATGCATCTCCTCCTTCTTCCCTGGAGGAAACTAATACAGCTTGGGCCCTTCCTGACCTTTTTTGCACCTCCTGGGATAGCAGCAGAGCTGTCCATGCAGACATCCTGCTGGCTGCTGCCAGCCTTCCCTGCACAACACGCTGCCCTGCTTCTGCGGTGCACAGCCACTGCCAGACAGCCTGGTCCTGGGGGCATTATCACAGCCATCTATATCTGCATCTGACAGGCAGCAGCCTGATTTCCAGCTTAGCCCACTGACTGTTGTGTAATAAAGTACAAGAAAGGCATACACAGCCCTTTTTGTGCCAGCTAGAAAGATGCCAGACATCTTTATGCATTATTCTGTGCAAAGGGGTGTGGGGAGGATTTGTATCCTAGGAACACACTTCTCCTGTTGAGTAAAGAGAGAAGCCCTTGTGCAACACTTTGTAGCATAAAGGAGCTGAAGCAGCTGCTTGTTTGTGATTGTGGAAAAGTCTGAAGGTATCAGATTGCCTGGATGTCCAACTGCACTGTCATCCCTATGCTGCACTTATTGAGTGCTTGTACCATGGCCATACACCAGCCTCACGCAAGCTGAGCAGGGGTGCAGCAGCAGTGAGCACGGAGCTGTCAGAACCCATTTCAGCCTGAAGTGGAAATGCTAAGTCACAGCCTGAAGCAGTGATTGAGCACCTGGTAGGAAGGCAGGGCCAACCCAGGGGAGCTCAAGTGCATGCAATGTACCTGAGTGATTGGAAAGGGTGGAGCCAGGTCTTCTGAAGGTAAGCAGTTGGTTCTCCTTCATTTTTGTGTCTATGGTTGCTGTATTTGGGCTTGCTCTTGTTTGCTGGAGTTTAAGACTTATTTGTTCTGCTGTTATTGCTGTATTTTCCATCACATTATAGCATTACACAGCCCTGAGCTGATGCAAACTCAGATTCATCCTAGAGCTTTCAGGGATGCCGCTTCCAGAGCCATGAGATTGGGCTCCTGTGTTTGTCAACAGACTTGTGCTAAGTTACAAGTGATAGTATTTTCCTTCTTCAGCTTTTCAGCCACCAGGGAGTCTAGGCACTAAATCCAAGAACAAGCTGAGGAACCCAGGTGGAGAGGTAGCAACAGCCATCTGACACAAGGATGAAAATGTCCTCTCATCCTAGTAATAGCAAGAGAGTGAATGGCCTCAACATGTGCCAGGGGAGGCTGGGGGTTGGGTATTAAGAAAAACTTCTCTGAAAGAGTGGTCAGACACTGGTACAGGCTGCCCAGGGAGGTGGTGGAGTCACCATCCCTGGGAGAGTTGAAGAACTGTGGAGATGTACTTTGAGACGCAGGTCAGAGGGCGATATTAGTGGTAGGTGGACAGTTGGGCTATAGATGATATTAGAGGTCTTTTCCAACCTTCGTATTTCCCTGCTTCTATGAGAGAGCCTCCCAGCACTGGGGCTGTGCTGGCTGGGGCAGTACCAGCCAAAAAAACCAGGAAGTTATTTGGCAATGCATGATCTAAACCATATGGCCCAGTAAGGAGATGGCAGTAGTGATCTGTGTTTTAAAAAAATAATAATAATTACAAAACATAAACAACAGACTTTCTATACAGAGATGAAGATGGAGATTAATGCTTGAATTATCCTGTGTAATTAGTGTAGCAGGTAATTATTTAAAATCTGGCACATCTGTGAACTCATCACTTTGACTGAATTAAAGAATCTTCACAACTGCTGCAGTAAGATGGCTCCAGCAATCCCACAGGGGAATCTTTATGGGAGATTAATTTTCCATTCAAATGGCAGAGATTTGCAAGAGGATTATGTGGCCAGTATGACACATCTGCGTTGTGATTGTAAGTGATACTTTTTTTTTCTCAGAGAAAAACCGAGTGTTGTTTCTTTAAGTTCATGAACTCTGAGTGTGAGGGCACAGCTCTCTTAGAAGCAGAATGTTCTGCAGCTGAAATGAGCAGTGCTTGAAAGGAAAGGGTAAGAGCAACACAACTGAAGCCTGAAGAGAGAACAAAGAAATCCAAACTTGGATTTAAATTCCTAATGCAACAAGGTCATGCTTGCAAAGCTAGCAGATGTTTCTCTAGCTTATTATAAAAGTGACAAAAGTTGTCATATGAAAACATCACATGATGTGCTGTGGCCCTGCAGGAGCCTTCAGGCTGTCCATAGCTGTGGAGCTTTGCATGTGGTGGTCAGGCCTGGGCTGGGTATCAGGTGATAGCTGAAGTGTGGTGCTGCTGGTATTCATCACAGGGAAGGGAGTTCACAAAGCTGCTGTTTCACATGCAGATTCACTACTCATAGCACTGAAGAGAGCTCTAACCAAGAAAACGGTGGTTTCCTGCCACCAAAACAAAAACCAACCCAGTAAAACTGAAGTCTCTCTTCTGTGTATTTCCAACTCAGAACTGCTGCCAGCAGTTCTCAGCTGATTTGCTCAGGTTCTCAAAACATCAAGGTGAGTAACTGAGACAGGCTGAGTTCGTAAACCCCAGGGGAATTAACAGCTGTAAAAAAGAGGAAGAGAAATAGCAAAGACAGCTGGAGTACAGTACAGGGGTGTGTCTTTTAAATGAGGGTATACTGTGCTCTGTGACTAAGATGTGAAGAAGTACAGGTGGAGCACGTCAGCATACCTGATCCTGCCCCAGCACTGGCTGCAGCCAGCTATGATGGGCACCTGTAGAAGGGATGGATTTCTAGGGTGGATATCTAGCCAAACGAACATCTCCCTTTTGATTCCCCTGTAGGACCTTTATGTTTCTGCATTAACAAACCTGGAGTATATGTGTTTTTAAGTAACAGCCTTGCACTCTCTCTCACTGTTTTAAGCTGAACTCCCCATATACTGCTGTCAGTGTTTCCAGGTGTCTGTTGTTCCTTAAAACATGGCTGAGTAACCCAGTACATCTCTTGCTGCCAGGCATGATCTGGATATTTCCCTACAGAGTGCTTCAGAGACTTGATCTATCAGTGTACCAACTGTCTGCAGCCTCTTCACATGCAGTCACTGCTGGATTTTCCTTTTTGCCTTGCAATGAGTGTGTCCAGGGGGAGATGCAGCTCAGGCCCTTGTATTTTGAGCTGATTCACACCATCTGCAGATACTAATGTGCTCCTCAGCCACCAAGGCAGTTGTTTTAAATCAAGAGCTGCACATAATTTGAGAGTGCTATTAAAATGGAGTTGAGCTGCACCTCACTGTTGAATTGTGAGCAAATTTTAGCCATGTCAGAGCACTGGAGCATAGACAGAATGTCAGTGTAGTAATTTCTGGGGCATGATGTTCAGACATATTTAACTCTCTGTCCTACACTTCACAGTGTAGTTTTGAGGGCTGCTGCCTGCCCAGGCTCTACAGATTGGATGGCAAATACCTCAATTCAGGGATCACCATTTTGCAGTTTGGAAGGTGGATGTCTTGCATGCTCTGCAGTTCTTTGGTGATGGTATGGACACGTATCTCTGTAGCTGTAAAATGATACAAGTAACTTTCCGCCTTTACTTTGCTGGGATGAAAAGCAAAGCACTAGAGCAAAGCAAGCAGGCACAGTGTTGTGGTGATAGCATAAATCAAAAAAATCAGTAAGCTGTCTCCAGTTTGGTGGAGTGATATTGCAGAGGTGAGATTTAAAACATGGCATGCAGTAAAATGTTACTTGTTTATATATAAGTGCTGAATTAATAGATTCTATAAAAAGGATCAACAAAAACTATGAAATATCTTTTTCCTGGAATAAGTGTGAGAATTCATTGGCTTTTGACATGAAAAACAACAGTTTGTGATAATACAACCACTAGCAAAAAGCAAAATAAAAACAGTATCCCTGCTTCGTTTACTGGTAAGCCAATGATGAGCAGTAACTCCAAAGGATGAAGCTAAGCTTTAGCTTCTCAAACCTTTTTGCTGAATATTGCTGTCATTACACTTGAGTGGATGGTATTTTTCTACTCAGCTGTGTTCTGCGCTTTAAAGTACACTCCCAGCAAGGAGATTGAAGAAGTGATACTGCTTTGCTGCAGCTGGAGAGTTCCTTTCTTGTTCATGTCCCCTCCTTAGCCACTGGTATTTGCTCCAGTAAAGCCTGTCTAAAACTGTTGATGCTCTTTTCTCCTCCCTCCACAGGACCATGCAGACATTGAGTGGAAGTTTGCACGGACAAAGCTCTGGATGAGTTACTTTGACGAAGGGGCCACCCTGCCGCCTCCCTTTAACATCATCCCAAGTCCCAAGTCTTTCTGGTACCTCTGCAAGTGGATTCACAATCAGCTGTGCCCAGGCAATGACTCTGACAACGAACAGAAGAGACATGAAAACCTCAAAACATTCACGGTAAGAAGCTGCATGGTTTTAAACTTCCGTTTTTGGGAGTGCTTTTGCATGTTTAGGGTCACCAGGGTCACTAGTACACTGGTGTGGTAGAAGGTTGCTGCTGGATCATAACTTGCCAAGAGCCATCAGTACAAATAGGATGATGTGGGTAACATGCCTGTGCCTTTCTCTTTCCAGGAGCGCCATGCTGACAACCTCATCCAGAATCAACATTACCAGGTAAGCTCTCCAGCAGATCAAATTTTCATTTGCTTTTTCTTCTTCCTGCTCATTTTGTAGTACCTCACTTCTTACATACAAGTGTAGGAACTCTGTGAAGATTTTGCTTATGGATTAAAGCATTTCCTCCTTAGAGGTGAGATGGTTTAGTAAATCACTCCTAACTCTTCCACCTGCTGTAAAGTAGCAGAAAAGTTACCAAGTGTCACAATTGCTGAAGTCAAAGGCTGCATCAGCAGTGACTTCAGAGGGATCATGCTGCCATGTCATCCCGATTATAACTGTTTCTGCAGATTTTTACACAAGACCTCTCAAGTTACTCCTCTTCTACTCTTTTTTGCAAGGCATCCCTAATCTTATATCAAACAGTGGTTGAGATTTCCTTCTGTTCTGGGCAGCTTAGAAAGGAGGAATTGTTCCTGTGTTCAATTCTGCTGTTTCTATACCTTCTCAGCCTGCTCATTATCAAGAGTTGTCAACGGTTTACAGGCAGTTTCCATGACCAGTGGGGCAGAGGGATTTCACAAAATCTGTGCCCCCAGAAAAGGGAAACAGGGGACCCCAAAATAATTAAAACCAGCGGCAATGATCTGAGGAGAAACAAACTAACTTACTAAATACAGTATCAGAATGCAAGATAACACACTATAATACAATATAATTAGAATTCAAGCTAATAAATCAAATATAATGAGAGAGAGAGTGTCCAAAAGGTGGATAGGCCTCACCATAATGCTGAGGTGAGATGCACAGTCTGGTTGAGCAGCAGGGAGATGAAGAAGAGCTTGAAGAAGAGAGCATCAGGTGACCTTGCCAGGGGTTATATTTCCTCTCTGACTGCAAAGCCCCCTGAGGAATACAGTTCTTCTGGACAGGTAACCGGAACTTGAGCATTAACAGTTTAACTCCCAGTGCACTACATGATGTTATGATGTGGAATACCAATAACCAAAAATCATAAACTATGGAAAACACCATCTTCAGTACCTGAATGCAATGCAATCATTATGCCAGCGTGCTGGAAGAACCAAAAAAGAAGTCTCCTGAATGTTAGGCAGTACATCAGGCTGTACTGTCAAAAGCTGCACAATTCATCTTACTTAAGACATCTCCTGTTTTCTAAAGAGTATTTGTACCTGGAACTGATGTTTAAAATGATCGCTTTTGGTAATGTACATTTGGTGCTCACAGCTTAACAGCTCACAGGTACAGGGATTTCTTAAACACGTCTCAGTAAAGCCTTGGTGCAGAGAACATCTTAATGCTTGGCTGTACTCAGATTTGTTGTCACAGTTTCTGGAATAGGGAAAACGAAGGAAAAGTTTGGGATAGTGTTTCTGTATACAGAGATCAGCTGCTGTGTGTGCCACATAGCCATAGAAGCCTTAAACAACAATCTGTTTATGTCAAGCCAGCAAGGAGGTACACAAACACAAAGCAAAATGGATTTCATCCTACAGAGATCTGGACTGTAGCAGACATCCTCAGGTTAACACTGAAGAGTGAGAGCCTTTAGAAAAGTCACCAGAGGTGTGAATCAGTACTTCCAGTACTGTCAATGGATGCTACAGCAGCTTTGCAAGGAGTTCTTAAATCCACCATCACCAGAGAAGACCCAGGGAGCTTGGGGTTAACGCTGCCCCATGGAGTCCTGGCTATTCTTCAGGTTATTTGATGATGACATATCATCTTTCTAGTATTTAATGAACAATCTTAAAATGGCAAGCTTAGCTATGCAGTATACATGAGACTGATAACCTTAAACTTTTCGCATCTGAGATTAAAAATTGCAGTGAAGGAATTTAAATACCTTGAAGATATTTAAGGTAATTGGTAGGTATTTAAGGTAATTTAAGGTATGGGAACTGCTGAGTCACGGCCTGAACCTCTGATTAATCACCTGAGGCGAGCAATGAGTCAGCCCTGGGAGCACAGGTGAAAGCAATTCACCTGTGCTGCAGGAAAGGGTGGAGCCTGGCTGCACCTCTCCTAGACCCATTTAAGAGCTGACTACCGGGGGGAAGGATCTCTCTCTCTTCAGAAGATCCACTCCACTGGTCTTTCCTGAGCGAGCCCACAACACGGGTAAGCCTCCTATTTATTCTCTTTGTCTCACTGTGCCTAACTCTCTTGCTTATTTCATTATTATAACATCTTAATATTATTTGATTATACAATATTCCTTTATATAATTTTCATTGATTATACAGTAATCAAGAATATTTTACTGAACAATTTTTACAACTAGAAAAGTGCAAAATACTTAACAGCTTTCAAGATAAAGTATAAACATTGCTAATGGTGATTTTTTTATTTTTTTTTTCCCTTTAAATTCATTTTAAGAGAGTAAAATAGGGAAAACCACTGTCGGTAAGAGCTCAGAAGTACAGTGAGAATGGAACTTGCTTAGAGCTGGAATCTGGATCATTCATGTTGTTTCTTATTTCAGGAAGTGATTAGAAATCTTGTAAAGAGATATGTTGCAGCAATGATAAGAACTTCCAAAACCAATGAAGGCTTAACTGAAGAAAACTTCAAGGTAACTTTTTCTCTCATTAATGATCGTATTAATTTGAGTAGCCACTTGAAGAGTTCCCCCTAATTTGGGGAAAAATGTGGAAGTACAACCATTACAGGAGCTGGGAATACATACACGGTGTGCATGTGGTTTTCTTTTGAGCAGAAAATACTCCTCATTCAGGTATCTTCTAATATGGTCACTTCCACAGATTTTAATACACAATACTATATGTAGGCAAAGGCTTTAAACAAAGTACTTGACTTGTGTCAACATCACACTCTTAATCCCAGACTGAGGCTGGATTAGTGGATATGAAGAACAATTCTAAACAAAGTTAACTTTGGGCCAACTAAAAGATTCCTGTAATATTTCTAAATTCCAACAGTTTCATCACTTCTATAATAAAATGCTTTATTTCAGCTCGTCCCCCACTGCTCAAGCAGGCAGAAGGGGAAGGGGGTGGTCACAAAGGCTGGGCCACAGCCTGTGGTGGTAAAGATCTTGCGAACTCTCCAGTTGTCAGGATTAACAAAACATTTTTTTTTTTCTGTCATCAAATAATGAAGATCTATGTGATGCTCTTGTAAGCATGATTTGATATCAGCACTTTGCTAATCTCTGAGCAATCCTCCCAAGAGAATGTGGTCACTCTTTCATCTCACAGATAATGCTGCTGAGCGTACCTCATTTTTCCTCTTGCCCTAGGAATTAAAACAGGACATCTCAAGTTTTCGCTATGAAGTCCTTGACCTGCTGGGAAACAGGAAGCCACAGAGGAGAAGTTATTCTACCAGTAGCACAGAGGTGTCTCAAAAGGATGAAACAAATGAGGATAGTGCTGGAGAAAAACCCAAAGTCAAGAGTGTGTCTTTCAATGTAGCCAACAAAAAAAAGGACTTCAATGTATCTGCGCTAATTAAAACAATGTCTGGGATTGATATGGTGGAAGAGAAGCCAAAAAGCAATGGGATCAGTAAGCGCTCCTTCATCCGAAATGGAAATAGAGTTCAGAGGCTTTCCAGTTCCAAGAAAGAGTCCTTTAAGAGACTGGGGCTGCTGTTCTCCAAGATGAACGGACACGTACCTGAAGCAAATTCAGAGCCCATGTACACTATTTCAGATGGAATTATTCAGCCACACTACATGTGGAAAGACATCAAATATTCTCAGATTGATAAAGAGAGAGAAGAGAATTGTTCCAAAAGTGAAATTAACCTCAATGAGGTAGACTACAGTAGGAACACAAAACTTACAGGACAGAGCAAGGAGTGCCCTGTGGTTTGTACCAGCTCCCTTCACTGTGCTTCCAGTATTTGTTCCTCTAATTCCAAACTTTTAGACTCATCAGAGGATGTGTTTGATTCATGGGGAGAGGCTTGTGACTTGTTTATAAACCAGTGGAAAGACGGGCAAGAGGACCATGTTACAACACGGCTATAAGTAAGGCTATCTTAACACCTGCTAGAAAACTTGGTTCATTATTTGTAATTGTTTGCTCTCACCTGGTTCAGCATTATGAATTCTTTTCTGCCCATGGGATGAAACAAATGTAAAACTCTGTTAGCCTATCTTAGAGCTATCTGCGCCTCCTATGATTTTATTTTTATCTTCACAAAAGCTGAATGGAAGGCTTCACCATTTAGAAAATCAATGTAAACCACAGTATTCATTCAGATGCAGTCAGTCTTTGACTCCCACCTAATTCAGATGCACCAGTGGCAGAGTAGAGAATTCCTCCAGTGCTGTCCCTCATCATCCCAGCACTGCTGGGTTATCACTGCTGCTATCCAATGTGCTTGGCTTTGCCTCCTGCTTGAAGTCCTCATCAGTACATCCAGCTGGTGAGCAGTGGCTTAGCAAGAGGCTGAGAGTCATACGTAAAACCTTTTTAGGAAGGGTTTCAGGTTATAACTGGCTTTTTCTTTTCTTTAAGCAATACAACCTCTGATTCTTGCAGTAGTGTGGTTTTTCAGGTCATTATATTCATATTGTAAATTCTTACTAAAAGACAGCTGTGGTCATGCACCTAGAACATGTTATGATTTGCTTATTTACTTAACTGCATTGAAGAAATGCCCTGGTAGGGAGCAGAATGGCCTCCCAGTGAGGCAGGCAGGGGAAGCCAGTAGCTGGCTTTGCTCCTAACTTCAGCATTGATGAACAACCCCAAACCAGCTGTGGCTGCCTGAGACAGAAAACTCAGTGTGGTTCTTATGTCACTAATGGTAAACCAAAACCCAGCCCTAAACCTCACCCATACACTGAGCTGCATCTGTTTTTGAAATTCTCTCTCTTATTTCCACTGCTGCATTTGCTTTTTACTGCCTTTCTAGCCAATATCATCTTTCAGGTAGAAGCCATCCACCTGCTGTACAGCAGTGAGGTCTCTGGGTCTGTGAGCTGTATTCCTGAGAAGCAACTGGAGTGAGAGCAGCCCAGACTGTATCTGCCACCCCAGGAAGTCTCTGCAGTCCCTTTACTAAGGTGCAACAGAAAGGAACATGGCAGGAAATGTTACCCTTCTGTTAGTGTTTTTTCAATTGTTCATTTTCCCCCTCCGTTTCTGCTAGGCCCTATCCAGGCTCTCCCATTGTATTTGTTGTATTTGTCCTAAGGAGCATCAAAGAGGGGGGAAGATGCCCCATCAAGAGCAAAATGGTTGACATGGTGATTTTCCACAATGTGATACTTGGACTTTCTGTGCTGTTGCTGAGATACACAGATGATTGGCACTCAACACTGCTTAAGAGCTGCTGTTAGTTGGCTGCTTGCCAGGAAGAAGCCAGTGCTGACCAGGAGCTGAGAAATGGCTGTTCCTTACACCATGGCTGTGTCCTGTTGTCAGGCTCAAGGCTCTATTCCCAGGACAGGTTACATGGGCTGGAGCACATCCTGAGGTGTACTGCCAAAAATCTTTTGCAGAAGCTGTGCTGTCCTGTGTAAATGAGTTGCTGGGTGCCTGGGCTATGATACTTTGCCTGTTTAAAGAAAACCACCACCTTGTTGGGATCTTCCTGAGGACACCTACAGAGCACAACTGCATGGTCATGATGGGACATGCCTGCAGCCCAGATACAGGTGTGAACAGCTCTTGCAGCAGACCTGCAGATGCTGACAGGCTTGGCTCCTGGGAAGCTTTGAATTCAGAACTTGAAGGGGAAAGCAGGGCTTTAGGCAAACAACAGCATTAAGAAAAAAGAGCAGCCAGGAAGAGAGACTCTGTTCTCATTGTTACCAGCGTGCAGCACACAACCCAAAGGATATAAGCCTCTAGATGTGCTAGGTGTGAGAGAGCAAGAAGCACTTCAGTATGAATAGACTTCAGGCTTTCATACTTACTGCAGGGTTATAGCAGTCTTTGAGAATTGCATCTTCTCTTCCTGAAAGTAAGGCTGAGCAAAGCATCACGAGGAGACTTGCAGAAAAGCTGTCAGAAGCAGTTTGCTGATTGCTTAATGAGAAATCCAGCAATTCTATCTTCCACAATGCAAACCCACCTATGAGAGCTGCAGTTAGAAGCAGCTGAATGCAGTTCTCTAAGCAGCCCACAATAAGAGCCCACAGTTTAATAAATCTAATCTAGTGTATTTTTAGAAGCATGAACGTTAATGTGAGCTGCTACATGGAGTAAGAAGGGTTTGAATTATTTCATGCCTCACCTAAGCATACTGCAGCTTATGAACTCTAGGGCAGCACATCTTTATGTTACCAGTGTAACAAGTGGGCATAAAAACCACCCCAGTTTCGTTGTGCAGATGATGTCAGCTGAGTTGGAGGCTGGGCAGATGCAGGGCTCACATCCTCAGACAGCAGAAGAGCTTTTACGTTTTCCACAAATCAAGCACACTGGAGCTGGCTCCGATTAAAAGGTGTCATTCAAATTCAGCCCTACATTAGCAGGTACAAATCTCAAAATGAAATGCAAATAACTCTGCAGCAATGCCCCTCAAAAACATAGAAGTGACAGAGGGTAATGCAAATCCCCTCTGTGCAAATCGTGTGAGTCATGTCCTCCTGCTGTGTCCTGAAAGGGCAGGGGTAGGAGCTGCCACATTGTAATGGCATGATGGATAAAGCACTGCAATAATCTCTTGATAGCATTCTGTTGAACAGGAGAGGAACATCATGGGGCTGCAGCTCCTGGGGGATTTGTTTCATGACTCAGATACTTCCCAGCTATGAACTAGTTTGAGCTGGCTTTCATATTGAACACAACTATTTGCTTTGACTAAGTGATGAATACATTTATCTAGGAGTTTGCAAAATTGTCAGTCTGGTCTCCCCAGAAGGCCGAATTGTTTGATTGCATCTATGCACCCCCTTTTGTAGCAATAGGCTTTATAGCAGCTCGTGAATTATTATTACTACTGTTAAGGAGGAGCGTCAGGGGAAGAAACTGAAAGATCTTGTGGAAAAAAATATATTTGATTGATCCCAGCCTTATTTTTCCTTTTTAAAATCACCTGCAGTCAGACTATTGGAGATTTTACTTACATTTTTCCATTTTCTTACTCCTTCCTTTGGAGGAATGGTTGAAGCATCTCTCTGCTGTTTGTGCAAGCAGCTGGGGTAGGAGCTTATGAGACACTGAGCATCTTTGGGAAGGAGTTAACCTATTCCCTGGTTCAGGGTGCACAGCTGTGTCACAACTGGCCCATGCCTGGCCTCTGTACCAGATGCTCCAACAACAATCATCATACATATGCTATTTGGAATTTGGAATCACACAGGTCTTGATCACTTGGCCTATTCTTTAGGTTTTCTGCTCTTCAAAGTAGCTTTATTTCTCACCTCCCATCCCTGGCATCATTTTCACCTGGCTTTGTAACCTACAAGCAACCCCCAGTAGGCATTCAGACCCCCAGGCGCGAACCATCACAGAGCTACAAGGCAGTGTACTCAGGCCAGAGACTGAAGTTGTTGTATAAATAAGAAATTAAGTAACATTTCTGCAGATTATTTGGATAATTGTGTTTGTATATTATTCACATACTGATATATATGTAAATACTCAACTATTTGTATTTCGTGGTCCCTACAGAAGCAGCATGCACAGTGACAGAGCACAGGACTAGACAACAAGACTTGAGGTTTGTTCCCAGCTCTGCCACTGACTCACCTGTGACCTTGGGCAAGTCACGTAGCCTCTCAAATGCCTCAGTTTCCCCATCTGTAAAATAGGGATAATACTACTTACCTACCTCGCAGGGGGGTTAGTTCATTATTTACAAGCACTTTCAGATCTTCGAATTAAAGGCGCTATATACAGTAACTAGTTAATTCTCATAGCAGTGGTACATACTTTTCTTCTGAAGACTAATTCAGGTTAGGATTTTGCTATGTCTGTTAAGGTAGTTTCCCACGTAGAAAAAAAGCATGATTTCCCACCAGGGGAATTTAGGGCACTTCTGCAGTAGACGGAGACCTGGGAGCCTCAGCTAACTTCCTTGGTTTTGTGACATGTCTGACTTGGAAGGTCACCTCACTGTACTTGTTTCACCCTTTTTCTAGTGATACGTGTAACAGTTTTTAAACAGAAATTGCCACTTAAGTACTTATTACATAAATGTATTCCTGTATAAAACCTTACCCTTTAAATAGGTTAACGCTGGTTGGCACAACAGACTTCCAGGCATGGGGAGGTTCCACAGTCAGCCCAGCACTGTTTATGTGCACACAGAAGTAAAAAAAAAAAAAAAAAAAAAAAAAAAAAGTTGGGCTTCAGGAAAACATCACATTCTTTCATGTCAGAGGAGTGCTAAGGTTTGATGTGCATGGTAAGGGCACAGCAAGCATTCTGAGCCCAGGAATGTGGTGTTCTTACAGGAACATGAGGGAAACTTCCACTTTGGAAAAGTACTAACAGCGTAAGCAGGGATGCCCTTTACCCCAGGGCCATCTCACCGAGAGAAAACCAGGCAAACACCAACTGCTCACTCGCTATTAGGTATAGGTCCTACAACACTTGGAACTTCTCAGCCTTGCTTTTATTTTTTTCTTTCCTTTTCTAAAGGCCAAAATCTCACAGAAATACACAGGAAGAGGCTCCATTTTTGACTGAGTTCTCCTTTAGCCAGTCTGCACTGCAGCATGCCAAGTGTCCCACAGCCGTGTCTGTGAGAAGGCCCTGCACAGCCACCAAGGCTGACTTCCAAAACAGCAGCATCATCCTCCCAGCCCCATTACAATTCCACAGACATCCAGAATGGAGAAGTACAAAAAGCAAAAGCCATCCACGCCACTGAGGCTGCCCAGAATGAATGAAAACTGTTACTTACCCAACAAGTCTCTGAAGCTGCCCTTGGATGGATGCACTGAAAGTCACTGTCTCCCTCTGGAGCAGCTCCTGGTGCTGCCCCTACCCAGGTGTGCCAGAAGCATCAGTGATTTCCATTCATGCAAAGGCAAAATTAATTGAAATCAGTGAGACTACAGTGAATAGTAAATCAACCCACTAGAGTATCATCTAAATTAAAGTGTCACCAAAATAATCTGCAGTTTTCAAGGAATGTGTAACTTGAAACTTCACAAGTATAAAATCAATCCTTGACTGAGTTTCTGGAGGCAGTGGGAGGCACTCTGGGCTGGCCACGTTAATGTATTTTCAAATCATTTATAATTCAATTCCATTTAATTTTTACACTGCTTTCCCTGTTTCAGACCATTACACTTGTACAAACAAGTCATTTATATATTATTCACATAATTCCCTCCACCCAGAATAACTGCTGCTCTGGAGTAAACTGATGATCGAGAATGACTCTTAAAAAAGAATGCTTTATCTAAGAGAAGTGTATTTAAAAGGCAAAAACATCTTCTGAATGTATGACAGCGTGTTATGCTTCAGGGAAACTCTTCTACCTGCTTTGCTTTTATAAGGCATGCAAAGCAAAACCCAAAACCAACAACACAAACCCCCACTTAGCTCACATCGCTCACTACTGTGAGGCCAACCTGACCATTCCATTCTTTCTTTACATACAGACCCTTCTCAACCTACAGCTCACCAACTTTGGAGAACAGCACTGCCCATCCTGCTGGCTGGCATGTCCTCCTTCAGCATGGCTTGTTTCTTTCCTCTGGGGATTTCTTCCCCTCCCATTTAAAGCATTTCCATCAGCAGTAACTCTAAGCCAGAAGAGACAATGCACTTAGAATGAGATGTGATCAGCCAAGGAGCTGGCCATTAGCACGTGAGCTAACAGAACACTGTGATACCTTTCGCCAACAGAATGAAATGCCTTTTGACTATAAATAGTTGTTTTTGAGCAAAGGGGCACTTTTTGGTGTAGCTATTTTTGAGGTATTGTACAGTTTTATTTAAAAACAACTGAATGTGCTTATAAGATGGGTCTGGAAACTAAAGAGCTAGGGATCCTTGAGAAGCAAAAGGGTGGTTGCAGATGTGTAAGTACTCAATTCTCTATTCAGGAAGCCCTGGAGAATTGGGCTTACACTGGAAATGGTTGTGGGTTTTTTGTTTTGTTTTGTTTCAAATCAATCCAGCTTTAATATCAAATTAAATCTTCATGAAAAAGCTATCACAGAAACAGCTTCACGGCAGATCATATTTGAAGATGCTGTTTTATTTCATGGGATAAAAAAAGGTGAGGATTTTCTTCTTCCGTTTAATTTTGGTCAGAAATCAAATGGCCTTTTCCAGGCAACAGAGCTTTTAGATGTTGAGAGAATTTTGTGTATTTAGTAGAGACAGAGTGGGGACCTCAGCACTTACCCATTAGGTGGTAGCAGCCACCCCAAGAGAGGGGGAGAAGGAGAGGGCAGAGCAAAAAGCAAAAACAAACGCTTCATTTTACGTACTTTTCTACTTGCACCTTTTCTGTCCATAGTGCAGATTCCATGTCATTCCCTCATGTAACATGTAAAAATGAAACGATGTATATAATAAATAAAATTATTTATTTTATGTGTATTTTTAGCTTAAATGTAAACTGAAGAAAAAAAAAAAAGCGTTTAATCTTTTTCCCAAAAATGTAAGCCTATTGAAATTCAAGGTGTTTCTACCTTTTCAGATGTAACATTTCCAGCTACCTATTGATAATAAACATTTATGAACAGCAAAGCAGATGACATTCAGTAATTTCTACCACCTTCTGCACTGGAAGCCTCCTCAAGGAGCACTTCAGGGCCCCACTTCTGTAGAGATTTATGCTGGTGCTTGAGTGAAGAGACGTGGTACAGCCCTGCTTACCTGCAGTGAAGTCAGTCAGCCAGATTGAGCAAGTGTTCCCAGGCAGCAGCTGAGCAACACCTGACTGTGCAGAAGTTGAAAAATCCCAATCGTTACATCCTCTCTGCAACAGAAAGCAGCAAATCCACACTGAGCGTTGGCAAATATAATGCACCACATGAATGCAATTACTGCAGTACAAAGGAGTCCAAGTATGTATCGTTTTCCATTTTAATTTGCTCCCCAAAGATATTCTTTGACCAGCATAACTACATCATCCACTTTGGAACATGCAGCAATATAGCTAATAGCGTGAAAGAGTCATTAAGCAACAACCCAACTATATTAACTTCATTTGCTCATGTGAAGCAGTCCTCCAAGCAAATCTCATTAAGGCACCAGAGGCACGCTGCTGAAGTTCTGAAGGTTTCTATCAGCCACCAGGAGCTCCTGGTCATACCTCCAGAAGAATGGAGTTCTCTGAAGTTACACAAGGGCAGTGCCCCTCTCCTTGAAACACAAATGAACCTGGTACAAGTTGGGCAACATGGCCCCACATGGGAACAGACAGCAGAGCTGCAGCAAGGCCCAGGACTGTAGCAGCCCACAGCTACAGAGTTGTAAACACACCAAGGCTATGAGAAGGCTGCAATTTTATTATTACTGTTGTGTTTTGTTTTTAGAGTTTGACATGCATATTCCTTACTCCTACCATAAAACCTGGAATTTCAAAGTTAAGGCACCTTGAATCTCTAGTTGTGTTCTCTACCTCAGAAACAGCATCTGAAAACGCCTTCCATTGCACAGATAGAAGGATGCACTGCAGCAGAGAACGCCAGGTTGGAGCAGGGAGGGAGGGAAGTGGGCTGAGACAGAAGGAGCTTTGCAGTACAATCCATCTCCTCTTACTGCACTTCCTGAAAACACAAATCACGTGCTCAAGTAATCACCATAAATATTAAACATTTTTGCTTTCAACTCCAACAAAGACAAAATAAACTGGTTTAAAAAGGGGGTCTGAAACCACAGTTTGAAATTTGAATGTGAACAGGCAGGGTAAAAACAAGAAAAATACCCAAAGGAGAGGGGCAGAGGGAGTTAGAAGGTCCACTAATTTCATCCTTGCAGGATGCATCACTTCCTCTTGGGACCATCTTCCATAACACAGCGATGTCAAGCAGCTGTCACAGCTGTGTGTTGTTCTTATCTTGGTGTTAACCTTGTGGTACGCTGGTGGCAAAGCGCTCCCCTGCTCCAGCGAAGGCAACATTCAGCAGAAGGAATACATGGAACACCATAAATGAGCCCAGTGTGTAAAAACACCCTGTTAGGGCTCAGACACGCGTCCCTGCTGCCGCAGATCAGCACACTTGTGGCAATAACTGAACTGCTGTGAGCACTGCCCATCGCCTATGGCTAATGCTGGCTGAACTGCTCTGTGCTAAATCACTGTGAGTGGCAGTGACTCGACCAGCAGGAGCTCTGCCTTGAAACATTTAAATTCTGATCTTATTTCAAAGCCATGAAGTTCTAATTTGAGAGCTTTGCCTTCCTCCCTCATAAGGGCGGTCACTTTGAACTGTGGGTCCAGATTTAAAATTTGAGCACCTCCCACGCATAATGCAGCCTTTGACAGTGTGATTTTATAAACGAGAAGGATTTCCAGCACCACTGCAGAAAAAGAGGCTAAAATAAAACAACTGAGCTGGAAAAGCAACAGCCACAGGAGTCAGTTTGGTGCTCTTGCACAGCCATGGGGAAAACAGCACAGGAACAGCAGCCAGCACAGCCCTGCAAGACAATGCTGCCGGCAGGCAGAATCAGCAAGATTAGTCTCTACAGCATTTGTAATAATTACCTTCAATAACAGATGGATTTTACAATTCAAGAGACTCCGGAGACTTGTGCCTCCAGCACACAGCAGCGCTGTACAGAATGTTAACAAGCAGAGGAGCAGCTCACTGCCTGCAGGGAGCCGGATGGCCCAGCACCCCTCAGCCAGCACAGGCTGCAGCATGCCATCATTGCATGGTGCTCAGGAACGGACGTGTGCTCTGGCACTGGGGGATCTGCAGGCAGACAGCTGGATAAGAGCCTGCTGTAAGGGCAGAAAGGTTTGTAGCAGGTTAGAAGAGGGTGGAATACTTAACACCACAAAGTCCACACCTGGAAACTACAGCACATCACTGCCTACTTCATCCTGCACAGCCAGGAGTGCTCTGTGGCACAGCCAGCTCAGGGCTCCTTCCCACAGCCTTCAGGCAGTAATCCACTCTGAGCTGCTGCCTTTCATGCAGAGAAATGTGGTGTGGAAAAGGAGGCAGCAAGCATGACTGGCACAGGCTTGGCAGCACAAGCCTTCTCCCTTTGGGAAGCTGAAAATCCAGCCACCAAAAAATAAAAATACATGACACCAAGACATTTCAGGATCAAATCTACTTAAAGAATTCATTATTATGCAACATACAACAAGAAACCAGAAGAGGGGGAAAAAGTCAATCTGAAGGAAATTATTGTTCCAATCAGAAATCAATACTTAAAGATTTTCTACCTCCACTCAAATAAATGTTAAAATATGCATGTGGCTGCAAACCATACTCCTCTCCTCATGTCCAGTGCAGCCAGGCACAAAACAGCATTGGTCTGGTTCTGATGTGCAACTGAGCCAAAGATGAGGAGCTTGGACCATCATCCGACACTGGGCTCCTCACAGAAAAATAAATATCCTGAGCCCCAATAGTGCTGTGCACACCTTCACATACTCCCAATGAAGCCAAGGTCCTCAACACCACTACTCCAACAGCAGCAACTCTTAGACCCTCCCCCATTATTTCAGTGTATTTTTAACATGACAGCTTTATGCTGTAATACAGCAGCACCATTTTCCACCCTACAGGGGGCAGGGATGAGCCTGCTTCCAGCACACTGCTCCCACAGCCCCTGCGTGCTGGTTTAAAGAATTGCTTCTGAGCCTCAACAGCCCTGATAAAAACATCACAGCTGAGGTGCCTGGGTGCGTATCAGATCCATGAGCAAGTTCACCAGACTCAGATTACAAGTGTAAAAAATTGCAGTGGTATTTCTTTTTAAATATACATCAATTGAGGTGATTAACAAGGTCACTAATGCCATGGCTAACAAAAATCCAGCTGCTAGAAGGATAAGTGAGAAGAGAGAAAAGCTTGACTCCCTACCATAATTGTTGGTCTGTATTTCTAAGAGGAAAGAAGAAGTTGATTACTGGAGACAAATAAATACTGAAAGATAAAACATAACTTCCAGCTATGATAACCATTTGCACTGAAAAAAAGCAAGGCTGTCTCACTGACAGTGTAAGGAAAGAGGCATTATTCACAGCTGAAATGGAGAGATTTACTCCAGTGCTAACAGCAACTGTTTGATATGACAGATGATGGCACTCAAGACTGAAGTGGAAACATTTGATGACTCCATGATGGAGACTGCACTTCTGAGATCTGTTCAATCTTCAGGTGCATAAAGTCAGTCACATGGTTTGCAGATTCCCTTTAGAAGTTACCTAGTGAATTATTTTTTGGAGGAAACTTGTGGCATTGCTCCCTGTTCTCATAAAGGCCTGTGTAGGTTAAGAGCACTCTTTCAAAAAGGCAGAAGTGCTGAAGCTGAAATCCTAATGGTCTCCAGCCCCTTTGTGGAATCTTTTCAAACACTACAGCAGGTCAAAATAATATCAGCTAATCAGGGATCATTTCCATCACACCTTGATTTTCTCTTTGGCCCCTCCAACTCAAAGAGTCACATTAAACCCCCAAATTAAATGTACAAATGTACAGTAATTAGAGATCTGAAGAAATAAGCAAGAAGCCAAGCATACAACCTCCGAGCCAAAAGCAGTAAATAACCATTTTTATTAACAGAGGGGCAAAAAATCTTTATGAGTCTTTACAGGCTAGAATAAAACTGTAAGGAGTGACTTTTTCCTGCTGTTTTTGGTCCCACCCATGTTTACTTAACAGGTATAGTGATGGAAATATACTCCTTCCCTCTGTTTAGCACAGTCACTCCTCTTTTCATCCCCTCTCAGCTGTATAAATTCACAGAACAGTAGCAGGGGCACGCACAATTACTTTCAACTTCACCAAATAACAACTGTGCCACTTTCTGAAGCTACTGACAGCACCTCCTTATCTGTACCATATGTCCCCCACACAGGCTGTGTTTCAATTATGACAACTCAAGTTCGCTACAAAATCTGGCAGCCGTGAGTTTCAGAAGGCAGCTCCAAGACCCAAATACTGAATTCATGTGAAAAATCAAGCCTTGGAAAACAAGATTACTTTGCTCTTTTTCCTGGGACCCCTGTACCAAGCTCTCCTAACCTGCACTTGTGCTCCTGCTCGTTACCCCTAGACAGGACTATGCCACCACCCTGTCCTTGGCTGTGAGCAGGCTCCAGCTGCCAGCCACCACACAATAATTCTGCACATGCAGTGCAAGGTTCTATGGAGGACAGAAACAGAGCTTGCTGCTGCAGTCTCATGCTGAAAAAGCCCATGCTTTCCCACTGGAGGTAGGAGCAGCCTTACCCCAAACATGACAGTATTTCTTCAGTGCTGTCTACTGGGTGACTTACTGTCATGAACATAAAGTGCTGGTAATGAACAACCACGCATTTCCATGGGTTAGATGCTTTTATTTTGTGCTATCAGTGCAAATTAGACACCAGAACTACCACCACTCGTGCAACAGCTTTCACAAAACGTATCTTACAAATACACGATATATAGTAGAACAGGTTGAAGTATCTTACACTTTTAAGAGACATGAAGTCAACACAGAACAAAATCACATATTACAAAATATGTGATCACCAACAGCAAAAAAAGTTTTGTTTTGTGAAATCTGAGAACACCAACTTATTTCAAACAATTCTGTCCTCCAACAAACTCCACACCCAATTTTTTGCTGTGGTTGCAATGGCAGCTGTGCTTGTACAAGAGCCATGTGTTTAAGTGTTATAGTGTACTCACACAGGTACATAATGCAATTTTCCCTTAGTGACAGTATGTTTTTACACATTTTTTTTTATGTAGTCGAATACACAGTGTTCCCCTGCGCTATAGTTTACATATATGCCTCTCCTATGCTGCCTTAGATGAACTACCAAAACTTCATCCTGTCAAGCTGATTATCATTAGCATAAACCTGGAAAGAAACATGGAATCGAACACAATTTAATCAGTCACCCCAGCCCACTAAGACAAACAAAGACTTACAAAACAATGTAAGTTGATGAAAAAAGACATGAGAAAAACTAAGTACAAGAAGTGAGCTTACACCCTCCCAGACTTACATTCCTTGATGCACATAATGCGTTGCAGGGTTAGGTGAGGCAACATAGCTGACTTGGTGCAGCTGTCCAGAACTTACAGCATTAGGAACTCGTGGAGAATTTCCATATGGTGGATTTAATGAATGCCACGAGCCAATACAGTGATAGGCAGGTACCAGAGAGATGCAAGAGTCAAACCCTGGAGCAGATGGCTGGTTGTAGGGGTCTGACACCACCGGGTAATACACCGTGCCATGGGACAGGGCTGGAGGCTCTGCATTTTGGAAGTTACCTTAAAAAGAAAAGAATACACATATTTACTACCATCTTTCACTCTTATTTATGACTTTCATCAGCATAAATGCAACATTATTTGGTGTCCAAAAGTGAAAAATGCCCTTAGGTGACAATGACTTTAGGCCCATATATATTTTTCCAAATGGAAGAATCAAAGGCATCGTGGGTCCCAAGTTAGTCTTGAAGACAGCTTACCCAGCTTCTCACTGAAACCCATTCAAGAATTACATAACATTATTCTGCAGTGGTAATAATTTTTTCATGAGAGACTCGGGTAAAGGCTAATATGCTCTTTGCCTATTTAATCTTTGACCAGAGGGTGCTAATCTATGCAACAGAACTATGCCTGATGAACAGGCTGAAGCATTATCAGCATTAAGCCTGCACGCATCTAAGCAACAGCACTGCTACAAGATTCCTTCCCAACACTGATCATTTGCCACATTCCTCAGATTTTGTCAAGGCAGGCATCTGACCTTTCTGACATCTTTTTCTTCATTTAATACAATCCTCTTACTGCCAAGTCTATCTGCAAGCTGGCTGCACAGCGATGTGAAGCTAAGTCTTGCCGTAGCTTTCCACACAGTAGAAGGAGCTAGCAGTAAGGAGCACTCAGAAGGTAACTGCTCAGCACAGAGCCTAAAGCTAAGGTTTGCAGTGCCTTCGTTTAAAAATCACTTGTGAAAGTAGCAATGCTCAGGGCTTGCCAAAACTCAGTTGTCTTCTTTACTTTAAAAACAGGCATTATTTTGATACCATAATTATTAGCTTATCAGTAAGCAAGAAGATATACCTTCAACATCATTTCAGAGTAAGTTCCCCCAAGTTGAAATTAGTTCACTGAGTACAAATCTAGAAAGGACTACTACTTACTTTTCATGGTTTTAAAAAGCCCTTGGCATGAGTGGCTACAAAAGTGTCTCTAGCATTACTTGAAGGAACTTATGATAACTCATTTAATGTCTGCACGATGTCCTCCCATGCTTCCTATATATAAAGATGCAAGAAAGCAACTCCTGTGGGGCAACCATACTCTGAAAGCCATTACCTCACTATTCATAGTTTCTGTATGCAGTCCTATAGTCAAATACTAACCATTTGTAGCAGCATCCAGGGGAACCTGGTGGACCTCAGCTCGCCCAGCATCATAGAGCTGAGGTACTGACTGATCCAGGACATGAGCTGGCTCAGCATATGCTGGATAAGCCTCCACAGATGATGCTGGTGGTACTGGCTGTACGTAGACCATGGAATGCCAGTAACTCTGGTGATAGTACTTTGAGGAAAAAAACAAGAAAACAAGGTCAGGCATACAAACACAGTCTCCATCCCTCCTCCAAATCACCAGTAGTTTCATATCAAAGAGTAGTAATACATGCATTTTTCCCTCCTGTTACTGTAGAATAATGTTATATACAAAGGAGAAAAAAAAGAATACAGACTGTCAGAAAATTTGCTGTAATAGCAACTACCAACTCAGTTCTATCCTGTTTTATTTCTTAAGAGGGAGTTCTGATTCTCTGTAATCAACTTCGTTGTATTCAAGATTTTTCCATTTCCTTAGTTGAAGAATCTGGCATACTGCTTTTACTTGTCAGTGTTCCAGAGTTACCCATGACTGCTGGTGCACAGACGACTGTTACAGACAGTGCTCTTTAGCAGAGCAATGGTTCCCAGGACAGAGAAATGGTGCTAACTGGTCTGAGCCATGCATGTCCCAGAGGACTCAAACCATTCATCTCTGACCAGCCTTTGGTATCTCACCTAAGACGACAAATTTTCCTAGTACTTCAGGTTTCCCCTTTACCTTCACTGAGAGAATATTTATTCCTCATCCTCCACAAAAATCAGGGTAAACTACCAGACATACTAATGTGCTCTACAATTTGAGTTAGAATACCTCCAAGCATGCTTGTACGTAATAATCGTCAGCTACGCAGTGTGCACATTTAGCACACCTGGAAGTCTTAAATACATCAGTACACCTGTCAAGAAAAGTAGCAGTTTTTACAGGCAATTTGCTGTACTCACTTTAAAAGCACTTACTTGCAATCCCAGATTAAAATAATACTGCAAGACCTTTGTATCTGAAATTAAAGGATATGGCATTAGAGAGCAGATGAGCACAAACTGAGGAGCACAAAGAATTCTGCGTACATCGAGAACATTCTAAGTCAGTTCAGTAAGTAACTATTCTAGCATTATTTTTTCTTTAATGCTTTGAGAGTAAAAAAGTATATCCTGAGTTTAACTGGTTGCTATAAATACCGCATCTTTAAGCTAATCCAGTTAGATGTTTGTATAATATACTGGATAACTTGCTCCCAGCAATCCCAGCAGCTTAGAGGAACTTTAAAAAGAGTTGCCAAGCATAACATGGTTTTCAAAGTCTTAACAGTCCCAAGAGTGAAGCTGATTAAAACCTTCCAGGTTTGCCAGTGAAAGTAGAGGAGAAGCAAGCATGTTTTAAACTCATGATGCAGCTCCAGAACTGTGCATAAGAAACTCATTTCCCAGTCTTAAATAAAGACTTGTTTTAAAGGCTCAGGAAGGACAGTCACCTATTCCACAGCAACAGGTTAGATTTCGTTTAGTACTGAGAGGACCTGAATAAATCAAAGCAACAAAGCAGGGAGACGACTTGAGATAAACAGGCTGGGAAAGATTTCAACTTTGGGTTATATGGAAACTATGGAAGTGTTGCTGATTTCTTACCACCTCTGTTCTTCCCTCAACTAGAGCCTCCACATGGCTTTCCTGCTTGCTATTCAGCTACTGCACACACACGCTTTCATAGCCCTGCTCTTCTATAGTACTGAGTATTGTTGTCTGCTGCAAACAGGAATAGAATGGGAAATGCAAATCCCTATTTTGAAATGACTGAGGACTGGTTCCTCTTTTGCCAATTCTCAACTCTTTCACTGTTCAGCATATTGGACACATCAGGGCACAATCTACTTAAATGCAAGGAAGGATGTGTGCATTTTCCAAAAACAGCTAACAGCTTATGCCTGAAAGTTCTGGTTATTTGGCTCTGACATTGACCAGTTAAATATTAAGAATAACTGGAAGGCTCACATAAATATCAGTTTCTTAGTACTTAGCTGAAACTGCACCTACGTTGGAAAGATGATTTTTTTTAATCTGATTTTGTTTTTCAATTGATTATGCAAATATATGCAAAACAAGCCTTAAGAACTGAATGAAACAGCTGCTTCATAGCAGTGATAACAGTACAAAGGAGGAGCTGGGAGTCTGAAGTGACAAACTAATACCGGAAATGCTGATGTCTGGAGAGTTCTGGAACAGAAGCCAGTACAGTAGCAGACCAGTTTTTGTTTATATTTCTCTTTCAGATGTCTAGAAGTCAGTCTTCAGTATAACAAAACTACCGTGTGAAAATACAGCTAAGCCAGAAGAAGTTAACCACTGTGGCATGAAAATATGAAGATCACATCAACTACTGATAAAATTTAATCTTATGGTACATGAGGACAAAGTTTGCTTTTCAGTTGAGTAGCTCAGATCAATCCTGAATGCTGCCACGGGAAAGGAGCAGTTTCCAGTACACTGTAACAGCAAGCAGCCTACACTGCTGCTTCAAACACAAGATACCTAAGGTCACTGTGTCAATAGAAGCCATTTCACAAGCCCCAAACGTCATTAAAAATATTCCAGCAACTCTGAGAATTGAAATACAGATGTATCAATGAATACTAAGGCACTGTCTTCCTCACTAGTCTATGACCTCAGCCTGTTAAAGTCAGATTTCAAACCATGCCAGGCCAAATACCAGTCATGCAGGTTTTTTTTTTTTTTTTTTTTAAATAAACTGCACAGAACTCTAAGTCAAGTATGAGCAAATACTTTACCATGCCCTCCTCCAGAACTGCTGGATTTCTCAACCTAAAGATTATGCAGTAACACTGCAGTGACACTCAGCGTCTTCTCGTAGAAAAGGAAAAATGCTACAAGCAATTTCTTATTAGCTACTAACCATAAAATCCTGGGGAGAAAAAAAAAGAAATTGGAGCCTATCCCCAGAAGGACACGGCCAGTATTATGATGAGCGAGCTGAAGAGCTGCAGGCAACGGTCTGAAGAGGTTATTAATCCACATCCACTCCAGATTCTTGTCAGCACACTTAACACCCAATTCTCCCAAGTGCTGAAAGCCTCAGTAAAGGGCATTTAACTGAAGCAGAAGACAATTAGCTCTGATGTGTATATAAAATAATCTCCAGTGGTACTACTGCAGTAGGGAAGTAGGAAGTCAAATACTCAAGATTAAAAAACAGCAATTGAGAATACCAGCAAAGGAGTTATTGCAAAACACATCAGCAGTGCCTCTAAGAGAAGACCTTGAGCAGTCATGCCATAAAGTTTTTGCATTCTGCTTACTTCCAGATCAACTGCTGGCAAAATAAACATGTTACGTGGTAAATGCAACTGAAAAAATCTTCAACGTTCTGGCCCAAAGCTGCCTTACAATCCACCAGATGCAGCTACCTGAACTGTAGATAATAAAGAGGTACTGTTGATATCTAACATTGGCCCTCTAGGATTAGGACTTCCATGCGACTTCCACACAGGGACAACGAAACTACTTCGAGTGGCAGTATGCTGAATCGAGCATGAAAACAATTTGCAAGTATTTGATGCTCCACCTTCAAATAGATTTCAGAATAAAAGTCAGAAGCTTTCTATTCTGAAGCAGTAAAACTCAGAACTACCATACATCTGAAATACAGCCAAGAGCATGCTGTTTTTGTTTTGTTTTTCCAGGGTGATGGCGGTGAAGAAATCGAGTCAGATAGCTAGAGTGAAACTGTAGCGCTCAAAATGGTGGAAAAAGGAATGCTTGGTTTTTACAGACCCTACAGCTATGCAGGCAGTTCTTTTCCTTGTGCAACCCTGAATGAAAGGCTACTTCTCCATATTAGCAGAAGAGAAAGAGAGATTCAGGTATTTCAGCTAAAGGTAAGCCTTTGATAAAAGTCACAGCAGCCTCTGTCTCTCTAGATGGCTACAGACACACAGACATTCAAATCCTGTCTATGGGAGGAATACATAAAAAACAAGTATTTCAGCCAATGCGCAGAGATAGACCCAGTGCAAGAACAACAAACACAAGCTGACAGTTTTGCACTGCTGCTCTCAAGTACAGGCTACAGCTCATCTTTAGCTTGGCCTCAGTACTGCCAAAAACAGCCTCTCTGTGTGCTACCTGTCAAAGGAGGCAGCGAGAGCTGGAACTGTTGTACTCGCTGCAGCTGCAACACATGTAAGCCATGACTGAACACCAGCACTTATCCAGAGCATCTGTGCTCCAGCCTGAGCATGACATGATGACCAAATGAATCTTCCTATCACAACAAACAGGCTGAGTAACCAAATCTGGTTTAACAATTCTTCTAAATTTTAATCCTTAGGGCAGTTTGAGGCAGCGCACCATCAGAAGGCTGAGCATGGGGACATGCGCAGGGAAGAAAGGATTTTCTACAGCTGCCCAAAACTACACGTAGCCATGAAATTCTTTATCAGCTGAGACAGTGCATCACAATAGTTTTATCTGCCTTTTGAGATGTGTGCAGTGATGTGATAGTGGCACACTTGGGCCTCAGAGCATTCCTACCTAGAGCAAAGCAAGATACATAGCATAATAATAAGCAGTACTGTCATTCTTACAGCTGAGGCACTTAACTCACAGTCAAGGACAGCAGATGGCTTCATTTTTAGGTTATTAAACAGAATTCTGCAAACTCCAGACCCAATTTGTGTCCTGAAAGCCACAATGACAGAACAAGGGACTATATTTATAAACTCCAAATCAACTGGTAAACTGCTCTACTGTTTACCAAACCATGCTGCCTGATGCAACTTTGCATGGCATGCAGGTATTAAGCAGAAAGTGCCAGCTGATTAAAGACCACCACTTCAGAAATGAAACTCAAGTTCAGCTGACAAAGTTGAAAACTAATTTTGAGCTGCCATGGCACTGACCAACCACATTGGTCCTTCCATTCTTGTTGCTTGGGAGCAAAAATCTACCTTAAAAGATGCAGTTATAACCAATGACAGTATACAGAAAGGCTGTGCATTCACAGAACAGAAACCTTTACGCTCATATTTATGACACTACAGAATGGTATCTAAGAGTTATACTTATATATATAAGTATAATATAAGTATAACTCTTATATATAAGTATATAGTGTATGTTCTATATAGTATATAGGACAACACACAATACCTGCTGAACTGTGCAATACCAGAACTTTGAATGCTTTTTTTAAAAAAAAGTTATCAGAAAAATTATTATTCCATGCAGTGCTGATAAGATACAGACCATGCACTCTTCTCTCCACTGATACCTGAATCTTTAGGATATGGTCTAAAGCTGCAGTAAATCGTGTTTGAGCCTGATATGAACTTAGTATTCAGAACTAGGAATTTTTACCATAAGCATCCAAAATATTCAAAATATTTTTTATCTGCCTGTGAGCTGCAGGGAGCCATTTCTTGTCACTACAGGTATTCTGTTCAGTTTCATAAAGAACTCATGTCAAAAGTGTGCTGAAGTGCAGCAATAATAGAAAGAACAAAACATCTTTATTACCTCTTGGCAGATCACTGCCACTGGGATCACAAGAGTAAGGTGGAGGAAAGGCACCAGCTTCTCCCATCTCATTAGCTGGAGGAAGAGGAGCGGAATAAATTGGGAATGGCAGTGAAGAAACTGGTACTGTTAGAAGGAAACAAAAGTCAAGTCAAGTTTACAACGGCTTCTTATTCGAGCAAGGAAAATGGTAAGTTACACAGTCAGGCCTGGACTTCCTTTCTTTCAGCTCAGTGACTTTAACTTCAATTCTCTTTAATAATTTAATTGCTTCCCTCCCACTTTAAAAGAAGCCCAGAAGAAATTTTAAAACCAGACAGAAAGGTTCCAATTTCAGTTGCCTTAGCTGTTTGTCTGTTCTCAAGCTTCGTATTTCAGTTAAGAACAAACGTCTCTTTTTCAATCAGTTCTTCATACTAGAAGTAGGTCAGGCTTTTCTTACATAATTATCTGTCCTAGAACAGGGAACAGAATACTCTAAGCCATCAAAAGCATCACAGTAAACCCACAAAAATAAGGCAGTGTTCAAGTATCAGGCAGAAGTTTGTAGACAAATTTCTGTAGAATATTTATTAGGTTGCTCACACCTCTAGAACACTAGCAGGTTCCTCATAAAGCTGTCATCAAATAGACAACTTACAGAGAACTGAGCTGACTGAACTCTCAAGTGAGAAAAAAACCAATCAAATAGAAATGTGGAAGGATGGTTTCTTTTTTTCCCTCATGCTAAACAAAGAGTTACAAAAACCAAGAAAAATCCTCTTTGTAGAAAGGGAAGTCTTTTTCTTAAGACAGACAATTAACAAAAATGAACTGGATTCAGTGCTTGAGCTTGTGACTCTTCTGGAAGGTATAGTAAAACCTTGAGATTTGCCCCAGTAGCCCAACATAATGGAAATTAACTATACAAAACAGGGAGAAGCAACCATGAACTTGTCATTAAAAAGGAACCTGCTAGAGAAACACCTGGCACTGAAGGATAAAGACAAGTGGGGTGAGGGAAACAACCCCAGGGCAGAGACTTCCAACTCCCATGCAAATTCAGAGGCAAGCATCCCCTTCAAAGCATGGAAACATGAAAGTCATCAGTAGCTGTGTAACCTTATTGCCACGTAATTTTCCACATTTGTTTTGGATACGTGGTAACAAAATGGGAGGGAAGAAGGCAACTGAAAGCTTAGACCATCCAAGACCAAAGCCTTAGCATGCACACTCTACCTGGCCTCCCTACAGAAGTGGGAGAGACTAGAACTGGTTGAATTGCTGCTTGTGGGGGAACAGCTGTTGTGACACTGGCTTGTGTGGAGGCAGAATTTGAAGAGAAGACTGTAGGTGGAGCAGCATTAACACCTGTGGAGGTAGCAATTACTGCAGAGTTCACCATCACCTGCAAAAGAGTTGGAGTATTCAATACCCTACCTCTACAACTGGCTTTGATAAGAGCGATGGAAACATCACAGATTTAAGAAATTTTCTCTTCACAAAAATGCATTTTGAAAGCTCAAGCTGTAAAGACAGCTAGTTATCCAAGTTCTCTAAAAATTGGCTTGAAAAATACCAACCTAAAAATAACAGTAAGTTGCAGGAACCTGCAAATGCATCCTTCCACCGTTCCATTATGCTTTATTTATAGAGGATTATATTCTTTGTAACAAAACCATGTAAGAGAGAAAGAATAAAATCCTGAAGAAACCAAACAGCGGTCATCTCTCCAAAGAGCTACCACAATAACATACTACACACTACCTTCTGGGGATAGCTGTAGGAAGCCACTCCATCTTGAGGTGACACGGACACTGACCCGTCTTCCTGAAGAGATTCCAAAGTAATGTTCTATTTTAGAAGCAGAGAAGTAACAAAACTGCAAACGCTGGATTTCTAAGAACGTTCCAATTATGAACTACACTAAGCTCCTTTCATAACTCATGAAAGAGCAGTTTCATCCTGATGTGCACAGGACTGGCTTTCACACCCATTGTAGTTCAGCAGGTGAATGGAGAACTTGAAGGTAGCCACTGACTAGTTTCAGATAAGAAAATTCAATGCCAGTTCTATCAAAGGTGAGATATTTTCCATCACACATTGGTGGAATAAGACTAACTAGTATATGACTTGACGAGCAGCATGGCAAAAGCAAGTGCTGTCTGGAGCAGAAAAGGAAGAAAAGTAAACAGTGCTCAGACAGTTCACAGAGGGGAAAGACAGAAAGTACCATTTAGATGTACTTATAGACAAAAAAACCTCACCATTTAAGAAGAAAAGGAGATGAGGGAAGAGATACAGAAGTAAAACTATCAATCCTTTGTGACAAAACCAGTTTCTGACCTACTATGTTAAGCCTGGTTCCAAAGACAGGTTCCACGAAGAACATTACACATACCTGAAGGATTAGGAATCTGAACAGGCAGGGACAAACACTTACCAAATTTGCTGTAGGTTCTGCTGAACTAAATACTGCTGTCGTTTCACAGTCTGGATCTGAAAGACATAGGCAAAGTTAATTAAAAAAATACAGCATTATATCTAATTGCTCAGAAACTTTTAAAAAAGTTGTAATGAGCACATTCACCAAATGTAGTATCAGTAAAGACTAACATTTTATTTACCTGGAGGTGCGTACAGATATTCTTCATGAAACTTCCCTAGAAGGGAGAGAACAGAAAGATTTGATTCCAGAAAAATAGAAGTTAAAACCAAAGTTACTAAAATTGTATTTCACTGCATTAACTAACTGAACTGCTTTCAATATCGTCTTGTTTTGTACAGAAAAATAGCACGATCCAAGATCTTCCTCTTCCCCATTTTGCTATTCCAGCAGTATCAAGACTGCTATTGCCAGATCTATACCACAGAGCAGCTTGCCTTGCTACAAACCCATGTTATCAAAATAGTGATGTTCTAGCAAGCTTTAATGGAACAGTGACTTTTTTTTTTTTTTTTTTACATCAGACACAGATAACTAACTCTAAGAACTCACCATTTTCACTTGTTTCTTCTACATCCTCCTCTGATGGACTCAAGGGCTGCTTGTTGGCTGGAACTGAGTTGGGGCCTCTTCTAGCTACCCAAAAACCTGCTGGACTGTGGACAATTGCAGTAGGGCTACCCTGGCCCTAAAAACAAAATAATAAGTGTGCATTTATAAATAGTATACGACTTTTCATGTTTAACACACAGCCAAATAGAAACAGGCTGAAAAACCAAGCTTGCTGTAACCAAAGCTTACTAGAATTCAGTCCCTCCATCCATCTCTTTACAACCTGCATGCAGTAGAACAGTTGGACACATTTCTCTTTTACCTTTCATTCCACCTAGCATCTTTCACAAAATTTATTTTGAAGACTTACAGTTGTCCTATATGACAAAGTCAAGATGTTCTCAATTAGAATTTAGCCAGCTCTGACCTAGGTTCAGCCAAAGCTGAAAAAGAGGGAGCAGACCCCCACCAGCCACCAGGACTCTCTACCTCCAGCATATACTCCTGTATTCCTCACCTTGAGGAACTCCCACCACATCAACAATCAATGAGTTCATCCAAAAATATCACATGGCTGGCATAGCTCCTGCTGTCTGCACTAGCTGGATCCACATGGACATGCTTGACATATTCAGAGAGCAGCGCTCATCGCATTCCCCATGACTCCTGTAAAGCCTTGTACATAGTCTGTCTTTGTATAAAGCCAGCCCTTAGCTGGACAATTACAATCTAGAGTCCTCTAAAGGAGAAACACAGGATTATGAGAAGCATAAGAAAATGATTCACTCTTTTGTAATGACTATGACATTCAATTCTCTCCTCAGAAGATAGGACAGCTATGAGATTGAAAAAGAGGCTTGTAAGATCTCTAAGGGTGAAGTACAGCTACTGAGTCAGAAGACTCTCCCACCAGGCCTCTAGCAGGATGGCAGATTTTTCTGCAAAAAACACTTATCCCCAGGGCATGTTAAATTCCTTCAGTGAAGGAGACAGAAGATGCAGGGAAAAGAGACTTTGGCATTGACACTAACAAAGTAGCCGAACGAACATGAAAAACTACTTACTGGATGATGCAGGTGTACAGCTTAGCAATGGGAAGGAAAAAAAACAAGCTAGAAATCTATCCTGATTTAAAGGGAGGGGGAATGGGGAAGAAAAAGGAGTATTACAAGATAATGCCCCTATTCCTTGACAGCCTTGGAAGAAATAAGAGTAAAGATCACACATTTAATACAGGCAGATGAATAAACAAAGGCTGCTGAAAGAACACTGAGCAGGTTCATCCTCTCATTTATTTAAAAGCAAGTGTAACTTGTACTAAGCTTAGATAAAAATTGAAAGAAGATTGATTTCACTGTTTAAAAATGTATTAGATTGAAGATGAAAGTAGCACACTATGAAGTTTTAAAAGAAGCTAGATTTGGATTTTTCTCCCATTTCTGTAGCAGAAAAAATGGTTTCAGGAATGTCAGCCCAAAACATCTCAACTATGAATTCCTAGGAATAATCTAGGCTATCACTGTACAGCTTCTGAAACTAGTTACTCAAACCACAAATTAAGAGTACAGCAAAACAACTGATGTATTAACTCCCACAATACTTATAATCAGACAGACACTGATAGTAAGACGGAATTTTTTCTCCCCCAAATCTCATTTTCAAATTGCCATGGGAAGTAAAAATATGGCCCTACTTTTATTAAAACATGCGAAAGAGAAAACATGCTGCTGGACAGAAAGAGGGAAAAGAGAAAGAAAGGGAAAGCTTTGAAAAATAGATGCTTGAAGCAGAGCTCTCAGGATCTCCTCCAATTTCAGGCTTCCCTTCTCCTTCTGCTAAAGCTCATTCCAAGAAAAAATAATATTTAATTTATTATAATGCATAATTTTTTAAAAAGCTTTGAGAAGCTTCAACATACTCATCATTCATAACTTACTGCTAAGGCAGGAAAAGAAGTTTCATCCCCCTCTTCAATTTCATAGAAAGTTATTGTTTCTTCTGACCCTTGAGGCTCTTCTCCGTTCTCCGGTACAAACCCATACTGACATTCCTTATTCACACACTGCATCTGACGGCGGCTACGGCTGTATGAACTTTAAAAAAAAGAGAAAGGTTAAGAATCACTGCTATCTGGATTTTCACCTTAGTTTTGTTGCTCGATTTTAACTCTCTTTTCTTTGGAAAGGCACAATAATCCCAGTGTTCAATATCGTGCCATTAATAGTTAACTCAGCCCTCTACATCCCTCTCCCACCATCCTCCCCAGCTCTTTTAGTACAACGTTCTGTAAAGAGGTTTGTATTCACTTACCGTGACCTGCGGGAGAAACTGTCATAGCTCTGATAGCATCTTTTTCCTGGACTGGGGTAGAATGCTATTTGAGGGCCAACCATGTTGTGCCTGTTTATAAATCGGGCAGATCCCCTAAGTTTAAAGGGTAAAAGGTGCAATTACCAGGAAGTGCCTCTCAGATGGAACTCTTCTATAGTTTTATCAATTAAATAGCACAAGCTCTCTCCTAACTAATCCACAGCAAGAACAGAACAAGCAGTAACCTCAGATAGGTTTTCAAGGCTTCATACCTTGGCATTCCAAATCCACGGTTATGCCTCTGGGGAGGATGCTGAGGATGACAGGGTCCATAAGGTGCCATGTTTCCACCACCCTGTGAGCAGTGAACTGGAGGAGAGCGCCCTGAGGGAACACCATGCTGTAGCCGGGGTGGGAGAACTGGCTGACCCCTACTATAAGCCATTGTCATAAAGACTTCCTTTCCACGAACTTTCTTAAGCAATCTCTTCCGTGTTTTCACATCCATTTCTGCAGTTTCAGTTAAGGACAGAAAACAGAAGTTCATATTTTAAGCAGCTTACTCTAGAGCTATGTTTCCTTTCTATCATTTGAGAAGAGTCATTATTTGAATATATCAAAGAGAATCAACAGTGTATTCCAGGGCAGGAAAGAAGTATCCAAAACACACAAACTTCATATCCTCATTTTGAAGAATCTAACATGTATTCTGCTTGCAGTTCAGAATGCAAGCACCTCACTCAAATGACCACATTCCCAGTTTCAACTGGGATCAGTTACTGATCAGGTACTGATCAAACCAGTATTTGCAGTATTAAAGCACCTTCATAAAAGCTACATTTATTCAATCAGAAAACCATTCTCTGAACAAAACAAATACAGTTCCTGTTTACTTCAATAGCAAAACTCTAGTCCTTCCATACATCTCTTCTAAGGCCAAATCTGATATACTTTTTGGTTCACAGATCTAATCTTCATAAATAGTTTTCAAATGTCAAAACTCTTAAAATTCTGAGCAACATGAACCTTACTACGTATTTTCAGGGATTTGCCATTTTATGTATGGAAACTCAATCTTCTGTCTGAAGCATCACTTTACATGAAGTCCTTGTCACAACTAGATTTTATATCACAGGCCAAGTTAAGTTACTTTCAACATGCAAAGACTGGTATTGCTAAAGTTTGTCTTTCTCTATCCTACCTCTCCCTAAAGGGGAGGAACACCTCTGGAAAACTTGTACAAACCTATTCCCGAGAAGTATCCACCTGCTACTTTCTGATAGCTTCCTCCTTTTCGGCTGGGAACCACATTCCAAGCAAGGACAGGTGCCACTTGTGTCACTGGTTTTAGGTTTGCCAAAGGAACAGTATGCCTACATGAAAAACATTCATGTTAGCAGCACTGCAAGAATACACTATGTGCAGGAACACAGCAACATATGCTGAAGCAACACTACAAAAAACAAAATAGTCAATGATTTTGCCTTTTTCCTATAGGGAGCTCTGGAGGAACAAAAAAAAAAATCTTGTTCTCTGAAGCACGTATTACTGTTACTTGTATATTTTGTACATTTGAAAAGGTAAGGTAGAATTCAGTCCTGATACTACTGACTGCACAGGTCAAGTCCTTTTTCCCTACATTGGTATGCCTTCAGCAGTCTATCTGGAAGCAATTAAAGAGACAGAATTTCTGCAAAATGTAGATAAGCCTAATTGCAGATTTGGAGAAGGGCAAATGCTTTGAACAGCAAGGTGGTGAATGTGATGAGACTCAGAAACAGCCATTTTTCTGGGATTACAACATAAAAGCTTCAGAGAAACTGGTAGTAGAGAATAATTTGCTATCCAGGAGTTATGCCCAACTGCAAAGATTCTCGAGAACAACAAGACTTCACATAAAGCATCATAATCATTTTTGTTATTATAAACAAGAGAATTTTTCCTATAACATCTTAGTTGAAGAGTGATAACCAATAAGGAAGCAAATCTCCCTCTAGTAGCCATATTTTACTTCAAAGCCTCATTTCTCTTTTCTTCTCAAAGTATCTTAACAACCCTATCTTAACCATCTGTGACTGCACAGACTCCACTAAGAAAAGTTCAGACATGAAACTGTCACCAGATTGCTTACTTTTCTGCCAGCTCCTCAATGAAAACAGTCACCGTGTTGCCATCCTGCCCAACTTCCTGGATATGAGCATTGTAATACTTACCTCCAGGATCCAGACGCACCTGGAGAGAGAACAAGGGAAGCCCTGAAAAAACTAAACAGTATCAGGGGACCAAATACTGTCTATAAATCAGCAAAGTTCCTAGCTCCTAGCTGATTTTATGTTATGAGCTGGGCCCAGAAATATCAAATACTAACAGATCAGGCAAGATAGACAGCACTGTACTGCGTTAAGAAAGGAAGGAAAAGAAAGTCTTGCAAGCGATGTGTAAACTCCTGTAAAACAGGCTTAAGAAGATGGATTCCTACCTTCTAACTTACTTTCATACACCGTGTCAAACAGATAAGTAGCAAGGAAGACCACTATGTAAGAACTCGAGCAGAACATAAAATAAAGCAGGAAAGCTCTAGTGAGCTAGAAGAGTCACTGAATGAGTTATCAGCACCACCTCAAAGTGATTTTAAGAAGTACACCTTCACTACATACAACATGAGAACAAAAGGGAAGTTGACTTTGATTTCAGCATTTCCCAGCCACTCACTCTCTCTTCCCTCTCAGTTACTTAAAAGAAACCTGTTACATTACTGCTGAGAAGCAGAAGACTGGACAGACTTGCTGGTGACTTCCACTGAAAATCTAATAGATAATTACCTCAGTTTTGCACATACTTTGCACTTTGAGCTCCCAGTGCAGAACCTCAACACTCACATTGTTTATATCACTGGTTCTCAATGAATTTCCAAATAGCTTTTCATTCATGCCCAATATTTAAAGAAAGATCTTTAGAAAGAAATTTAATTAAAAACTTAATTAAAATTAATAGTTACAAGGAAGAAAATGAGAAAAGCCCTGGAAGATTCTATGAAGTCATTTCATGGCTTACCATATTCCACTTTAAGTAGCTTTAGTGATTTACCATAACTCAATCTCTTTTGAGTACTAACCTGACACTTGTCTCCTAAATAGTACTGTCTCCCCGCAAACACCATGTAGTCAGTTTTTTGAAGCTCTAAAAACAAACGAATAAATAAATAAAAAGGAAAAAAGCCTAAAAACATACTGTTCTTTCTTCAAGTACCCTATAAATACTTCACGATGGCACCCAACTACTAATTAAAGGCCAACTGTGTTAACATTCCCTACGCATATATAAGCATTCCTCACAGTAAAAATGAAGTAACTCTAGTTGTTCTTAGACCATAACTACCTAAGTCAGAGGAGATTAACAGTATCTAGCTGATGAAGCAGTAGACCTACTTACTGCAATGCTTGTGCCCTTCATGATGGCACTGTGTTAATTCAGCATTTAATACCAATCTTAAGTATGAAGGACTTGTCTTGCCAGAATACTGGTAACACTTGGCAAAAAGGAAACATTACCCAGGAAAAAACAATATTCCTGTATCCTCCCTTGTTTTCAGACTTCAATCTTTTTCCCCCTCCATTCCCTGCCCAGGTTCTCTGTATATCAGTACTCAACACAGGCAATTAGTTATTGTACTCCATTCCAAGAATTTAATGACAATCACTGTTGCTTATGCAGCTGTAAAAATGTTGGAGTTCTTCAGTATGCAAAGCACTCCAGGTCAAATATCAATGATACAACTTCAAAATTCATCTTCCTTGGTAACTCGTTCACACACTAGCCACAGTGTATTGCCATAAAACAGCATCTATTGAATCCACATGGAATCTGTCTAGGATGCTCAAACCCGGGAGAGCTGGGAAGCAAGAGAAAACTTATTTCACGTGACATATCTCACTGCTAAAGCTGAGACTTTCATTACGACAGAACACAATCTAAAACAGTGCTTTAAGAGTCCTCAGCCATACCATTAAAAATAAATAACTGTAGGCTCAAATTTGGATGATTCCCAACACAACTGAATAGTAATGCAGAATTCTGCTCAGTACTCTGCTTAGAGTCCTGGTATTTCCTACACTATAGTCATTAAACATCAGGCATCGGATTTTTAGCAACCTTACAGCCATACAACATCAAGAACAGTACCTGGTATTTTGAAAAGAAACCAAGAAATAGTTCTGGTAAAAGGATGTATTACCTACAAATATCAAGTGGATTAACCAGTATCCTTCACACCTCAGCTGTGCTGAAAGAAGGTGTCAATAGCATCAGATCCATACATTTAATACTGAGCTCACTGCAGAAATAAGGTTTGGATTTGAGGATTTTTTGGTTTAAAGATACCTTTTCTGCTGTCCAGCCAGACATCAAATTCCACATTTCGATAAATCTCTGGGTCCAGAGCCTTTAGCACTTTGTAGGGGAAAGGCATTTTTGAGGAATTTTCTGGAGTCTAGAAATAGAGTTGAAATGGACTATCGTTAGAAGCACATTTAAAATGTTCAGCACAATCTCTATTCTACCAACAGCTATGGACCATTTTAAGACGCACACAAATTCCCCAAACTTTCACTTCTACTATACAGAATAAAGACCAAGAATATGAACATGAATTTAGGAATTGAGGATTGTTCAGCTCAGAAGCTGAGCTGACAGACTACAGAAAGATCAAAAACAGACTTAAGAGTAACACTCTGCATTCCTTCAATTCTTTTGGAGGGAAGAGAAACTAGTTAGACCAATGAAGCCACGACTTCCAAAATTGGTGGGAATTCCAGTTGTTAAATCTGGAAACAGGCCTCTAAAGAGTTTTTAAAAACCTGTTTTAAAGATATTTACACTGTGCTCAAAATGAAAGCGGACTGATTTAAACCACTTTTCAGATAAGCAAACAGCAGACCAGGAAGTGTCTGCTGAGCTCAATTTCTGGAGCAAAAAAAACCAACAAGCCAAACATCAGCTATAAAAGAACAAGAGAACCTCAGAAAGGAGTGAGGTTTATCCAATTCAAGAAAAACTGGCAAAGATCAAAGGACAGGCAGACAGAAAGAAAAGAGGGGAAAAAAAAAAAAGCAAACTGCTTTCAAAAAGCTATTTTTAAGAAGTAGAAACATTACCCTAACGTGGGTAACACCCTGCAACAACAAACACCCAACCACACACAAGAAATTTTTCCCTAATTGCCAAACCTTTGCTTCTTCAGTGCCTTGTCTGAACTTATCTTCCACTGGATTGTCAGTATCATTGCCTTCCCAGTCATCACCTCTAAACAATTTAAAATAAGATTACAAAAGATGCAATGCATAATTTCTAAGAAGGGTTAAAATAACTAACTTTTCACAAAACCTGAAAAAAAGCACCATAGTGCCATCAAGTGGCAGATTTTGCCTGAAACAAAGGCTGTAAGGGAGCACAGGGCAAGTCTTTTCCTAGCTTTAAGAACATGACCTTTACCATCCCCAAACCTACCCCTAACAATAGCTACTATTTGCATTTGAAAAGGATGAAGATGACCCCGCTGAATACATCTGAACTCTCGCACTGCTGAGTATTACACCACTCTGCTCCAGGCACTACAAAACCAACGTCACCTGAAAGCTTTTACTAACAGATGCACTATGCCTCAAGCCTTTATGGTGACCGATTAAAGAACATCAAGGTTTTCAGTAGGTGTGCTCACTTTTTCCCCTCACTCCAAGTGATCCAATGGACTTCAATGATGCCCTCATTTAATTGTCTATACGGGGTACAATTCAATTAAAGAAAAAATACAAATAGTTTATTTTCTCAATAAACTATTGCCTGTACAAAGCTAAAGAGGATGAGGCAGCTAGCAAGTTTCTCATCAAGAGTACTCTGATGACAAAGGGAACCATTTTATTTAGACTCATTTTACAAAGTTGCATGCAAATATAACAGCCAGTAGCAGAGGGCGTCCAATTCCATGACAATGCCAAGTTCTAAAGAAAGTACGCCGTCTCTTCTACAACACACTTCAGCTCTGAGTCTGTGCCATGAAACACTAGGTTAGTACCATGTGCACATTCAAAGGAATTTGGAAAAATCAGCCTACTAACCCACTGCCCTTAGCAAGGTTTTAAACTTTATTTCAACACTTCCCTGCTACCATACACCCCCCGCATCAAATACTACCTCTTTCCTGATGGATTTCTGGGTACTTTTTCATGAAGACAATCGAAGTTTGTATCCTCGCTTTCTACACAGCCACTGTTTTTGTTCTTCTTGGAACCACTTCGAAACATTTCAACTGCAGTCCTTAATTCTTCCTCATCCATGAGGAACACATCTTTGTACAGGATTTCATATAACACAGCTGGACAAACCAAGACAAAGCTCAAAACAAGTTAATATCAGAAGTACAACAGCTCCAATTTTCAAGGTAAGCATATCTTTAGGTAATATCTACTGTTACAAGATACTACATATATTAAATTCAATTAAGGAGACGATCATAAAATAATTCAGGTGAAAAGAGACATATGGAGGGCATTTGGTTCATTACCCTACTTAACAGATAAGTATACTGAGAGTATGTGTACATTAATACAGAAAAGAGTGAGCTGCCAGCTCTCACTCTCCCCATCTCTGGAAACCAGAATAAGCAAAGCCTACAAACATACAAAAAACACACACAGTTCTCTTTCATAATAAAACAAAACACAACAGAATAATTGCAAGTTTACCCTGGCAAATAGCAGCATTTGCTTGAAATTGTTTTGTATACACAGAGTCATAATGGCCATTGCCAGAACAGCACAGTAGTATCTGGGAAAATAAAGAAGAAAAACTTTAAGGATGGAGTGACATAAAACCCAACACCAAGTTCTATTTCATTCTATAGGCAATGTGAACTTAAGAAAACAGTAAATCTTCCAAAGATAAATATGAAAGAGCTGTACGATCAGTTTAAAACTGGAGCTTATGAATTTATTTACAAACTTTACATCTACTATATAAACAAAAACCGTTATTTTATATATCACAATGCATTAAAAAATAGTGTGTGTTTCCAGTTCAACTCTGAAACCATCAGCTGCTCAAGAGGTAAAATTACCATTTATAATTATCATAAATTAAGTTACCATTTAAAACTACCATTAAAACACAAGCTATCAAATGCAGAATCTATGAAGTGCACTGTGCAAGTGTCAAAAACACACTTCCACACTTCCCCATCAGATGGACCAGAAGAGCACTTGCTGCTCTAGCCCTCAGTAAGTATGAATAAGTTTTGCTCAACTAATCAGCATTACACTGCAGAACTTTGAGAAGTTGCATGCTTTCTGCAACATATGCACTGATACACAAAAAAGATGCATGCTATCACCTCCCATCTCAGCACAAGACCATGAATAGGTAACTGCAACTGGCAAAAGCCCTTGTGCAGCTGTTGTTAGCACTGTGCCAGCAAGGATGCCTCCAGCCACTCAGTAGGAGTTGAGATGCCAGGGCTCTTAATTCCACGTGCCTTCTGTTCTAGCAACACAGTCTCTCATCTCATGGTGAAATATGCAACACCAGAAAGAACTGTAGTGAAGTCTAATAGCAGGCAATTCTTAATGAAAGCTCTGGTGGTAAAATCTTTGAGGACAAATGCTCATTTAGACCATGCTGCCTGATTTTCAAAGTTAGTGGATTTTGGAATTAGGTTAAGCTACGCAGAGGAAAAAAAATCATTTAGGTGCAAGTGAAGCCCATATAAAGATAGTAATATTAGCCAAGAACAGAAGAGCTAAAGTTGCACAGATTTCAGAACAGGCTCAACATTTGAGCAAACATAATAGCCCGTCCAGAAATCTACACTGCAGCAACTGCCCTGGCAGCACACTTGAGCTATTCACATAATTGCATGGGCATATCAATATAACTCCAGAAGAAAACCAAGAGGTGTCAGATGGGATGTAATACAGAGCATTTCTTGTATAAGTTCCTTTTTTTTTTTTTAAAGCTGTTCCATTAGCTCCTTCTTAATGGGACTTGATCTATATGTTAGCTAAATGAGTCAACTTGTTAGATTAATCCATTTCTGTCAATATCCCCTCTTCAGAGAGCAAACCTCCACATCACATTTCAGATGAGAGGCACCAGGATTGTGGAGAATGCCTTCTCACATATGCTCTATTTAGTGTATATCTCATTCTGCTCTTCAGAAACTCAACGTGGGTATCTCACTGTATCTAGTCAGTTCAGCCCACTTTCCATTAGGAAGTGTTTTCACTCAGCAAAAATTCAGAGAAATGAAATAGCATTCTGGAACCCTCTTACCTCTTCTCATTAAAATTAGACTCGTTTCCAACAATGAGCAGTTGTTAGAAAAAGATCAGCAGGGGAACAGCACACAATCCACCCTCAGTAGCAAAGCCACTACAATTGATTAACTCTTGTGTGAATACTGTGCTTCTACTGTGAGCAGAAGTCAGCTTTGGGAGTTTGTTCTTGAATGCACAAGCAAAGACTAAGTTAGAGCACAACTCCAGTGGGAAGTTTTCACAATGAAGTGGGACTAGAGGTATCTAGGAGTCAGGGGTAGGGGTAAGAAATCGCCTCAGTTCTCCTCACCTTGTCTTCAAAGCCATTGTCTGTAGCATAAGTGGGTGGCCTTCCAGGGTACCGGTACAGAATAAAGTCTCGACTAGGTAAGCAGAGGAAAAACAAGCCTTGAAAGGGTGCACTTTTAGAAGTGTATTATGAAGAAAGCTGAAAGGAACAGTCTAGATATTCCACTGTTTTTTTGTTTTTGGTTTTGTTTGTTTGTTTTTACAGAGAAACACTCAAGCAGAATATTTTCCCTGAAAATGAGTGTTATCATAAAGCAATAGCTAGATGAGCAAGTGATACTCATCTTGTGGAAAAGAATCTAGAAAGGACAGCCACATCTAATCATAAGACTATTGCACCCATCATATTAGATCAAGTACTTATGCCCGATGGCAGAGTGCTCAACCAATAAAACAATTAAATTCAGATGATTCCATCACACTTCAGAAGGATTACAACTTCAGTACAGGGAACTGTAAGTCTTGCAAAAGTTCCATTTCCAGTCTGCAAAGAAAGTGTTCTTCCTTTTAATCAGTGGAAATTCATTGTGCTTGTACAGGGACAGCAGCATTCTTTTTTAACAAGACCACCAGCACCTGTACAGGCTTATGCTGCCCTTGAAGAAAGCAGTAGGCTTTCCACATTGAGCAGCAAGCGTCCCACACAACTAGAGCTCTCAAGAACACTTACACTGAGTTTTAAGCGTGCTTGTAACCACCACAGCATTCCACTCCTACTTCTTTCACCCGCTCTCCATTCTTCAACCACTGGCAGGCAACACTTTACTGAGTTTAACAATAGCAAAAGAATAACAAATACTACTGGAAACTAAACTGCCCCTTAACCTACACTATTAGAACAGGAGCTGTGATGACATCCATTTACAAGTCAATTGAATTAACTTATTTAGGGTTGCATTCTTACTATCTTACTATGTTTAACAAACGAGTGCTCCAGCTACAAACAAAAGGTTCTGGGGAAAAAGGCCAGAACTCAAAACAATTAACAGTCCAAAACAAAACAAAACTTTAAAAAAAAAAAAAAGAGAGAGAGACTTACTTGTAGATCACTGATAAAGCACTTATTTCCAGTTGGCCAGCACTTTCCTATGTGGGATTAGGAGATTACAAGAGGTAACAGAGCCATCTTCAACACTACGAACTCTATACTAGCTCTCCATTGTATTAAAACAATAAAATTTAGTTTAGATAAGTTTATTCAGATAAATTTAGTTAGATAAAGCAAACAATGAACTGAGAGTTGAGACATCAGGATTTCCAGGAAAAAAAATATATTTCTCCAATGTGGAATGGCCAGGGCTCAAGATAGTGGCTAAAGATGGCTAAAGATAGTGCTAGTTCAGCAGCCACCCTGAAAGACATCACTCAAGAATGATGGGTTTTTAGTTTTTTCAGGTTTCTTTTCTTTATTTTTTAAATAAGCATTGTTTCAGAGACTGCAGTGTTCACCATACTTTCTAGTTTATGAGTATAAAGAAACAAGAATTGAACTGTACATTTCAAGCCTGAGGGTAAGGAAGAAAAAAGGAGCTGCAGAGTCCAATAAACACGTATGATATGGTATACAGCCCATATTTGCAGCTACAAATAAGGCCTACAAACAGGCCTCAGCTTTATTTTCCACACTGCACAGAGAACTTCTCTGCACCCAAATTCACCACTAAAACACACACATGAATGCTCATTACAAAAACATAATATTCCCTATGGAAATGAAAACCCAGGACTGAGGTCTGTCTAGTGAAAAACAAAAAACAAACAGTACTGAAAACATCATCCAATTACTTCCCTGTTCTGATCACCTCAGATTTTAATGTCTGTGCTAGATCGTTCTTACCTTTGGATCTCCCAGCCGTTCAAGGTATTTCTCAAATGATCCCTCCACATACTTTCAAGAAAAACAAAGAAGAAAATAAGAACTTAACCAAGTTGAACAAAGAAACACTTTTAAACCTAACCACTGTCAAACAAACATCATCATTGGCTCTTGAACAGGACATCCACTGCTGGCCTCCCAGGTCCTATCACTTCGGACTCTTGTCTGCCTGGGGAATTACTTCAGCTGTTCCCTATCTCAGGGCACGGGGACGATTCGGGTGTATCAGGGTGGAGATACCAAGAGGTCCTCAGAAGCTTAAGAACATGAGTCTGAAAGATACTCAGCGATTCATTTTCCTCCTAGATTATAGCACTTAAAATAACTGCAGGGAAAGAAAAAAAAAAACCCATAGCCCTACAACTGCACAAAACATATCTCAGCTGTTCTGTTTTTGTTTCTCAGCACCTGAATTGCCGCATCGTTAATTAAAATGTCTCAGCCTCAGCTGCAGGCAAGTGCTTCCCTAGCCGAAGGGTGATGCAAGTAAGCAAGGTCAAAATGTAAAGCACGTTAGAGAAGTTGCTGTAAGAATTCAGAGAATCATAAAAACAAAGCTATTCTGCAGAGGACCAAAAAACTGCCCACAACTTGTGTTTCCAAGGGAAACCTGTAACCCTGTACCAGCCCAGAACACCGGGCTGCAAGCTACCTGCTGCTGACACCTGTGGGTTCTCCGTAGGTAACTCCTAGCAAACAGCAGAAGCATCTCAACGCTGTTAGGATCATAACAGCTCTACGGGTTTCTCACATCATCAGTTCTACACTGCTTGCGCCACAGATGACGTCCTACTCGAGTAACTGGTGCCCTCCGGTCACCTAGCGAGCAGTTCAGGCATTAGCAGCCTCGTGGTTTCAGGAGCTCCAGCAGCACGAGGTGACACGAACACGTCCCAGCCGCACCGGGCTGAGGGCAGCACCCACCGCTGCTCCCCGTCTCACAGCACGCGTACACAGAGACACGGAGGTGCTCACGGCCAACTGCCCCGCTATTTCCAACGTACCCATACAGAAGCGCACAAAAAAACCCCAACAAACCAGTACTTACGGATTCAAAGTTACGCTGGTTTTGCCTCATAAACGAGACGCAAGCTTTCCTCACCTCCATGTGATGAATTTGGCACAAAAACAGCTGAAAAACAACGTTACGTGAGAACGAAGGAGAAAGCAGCGGAGCTCACTTAACGCTGTCGCTCCCCTCGCCGCTCCCGAGGCCGGCAGCGCCAGGCGCCGCACCTACGGACGGGGCGGCCCCACACGCGCTCCCGCCCGGGGCGCATCCCCCCCCAGCCGACCCCGGCCCGCCGAGGGCCCCACCTGCTCCGAGATGGCTCTGAAGAGGCAGGAGGCGTCCTTGGCCGTCAGCTTGCGGTACAGGCCGAGGCTGCCCAGGTACTCGTCCATGGTCACCTCGCTGAGCGACTTCTGCCCGAAGTACTTCTTCCAGCCCTTCTGCATCGTGCCGGGAGGGCGGCGGGGCCGAGGCTCCTCGCATAGCACTGGGGGCGGCGGCGGCGGCCGCCAATGAGGGTCGACGTTCGGCGCGCCCAGGTGCGGCCGCTCCCGCTGTCGGGCCCGCCTCGAGCGCGGGGATCTCGTGCCCGGCTCCGTGCGGGGGCCGCCGCTGCCGCCCGCCCCCTGCTGGGGTTGCGCGGCGGACCGCGTTAGGGAAACGCCTGTACCTGCTCGTAACTGCGAGTGCGAGCTGCGCTCGGGCACGGGAAGCGCCGGTTCGGGAGTTTGTTTTGCTTGTCTTAAGCAAAGCAAGAAAACCACCAAACAAGGTGCTGCTAGGATGGGCCACCAGCACCGCGTACACGCGCCGTTCTCTCGCACTACAGACCAAGTAGCCCGCACGGACGTTGTGAAGTTTAAACCCTCTTTGCTTTTAGAAGTATTTACCTAGATACATCGATGGCAGCAAAACAGTTGAATTTCCTTACTTTAAGTAGAGAGCTCCAGTCAGCATCGAGCAACCAAGGCGTTTCCCTCACCGCAGCCAAACAGGTAACGATGCGATAACGCGCCCTTTCAGCCCCATTCTCCTCCCATCGCCACGATTTACTCAGAAAGCAGCAGTTAATTACCCACGCCCAGGCCTCTCAGCTCAGCTCGTTCCCCTTACATCTCTCACTTCTTAAGTTCTCTTTCCACTCCCAGTGTAACCACGTGAAACAAGAGCTGAAGGCATCTGCAGAACCCAGCAGGGACACCAAGGAGGGCACTTCCATTAGCACTCGGCAATTAGAGCCGAGACACCGCTACGTGCAGGCTCTCTCAGTTAAGAAACAATTTAGCTTGTCCTCCGTAGGGGCATTACCGAGCCCTAGGTTTTGGCGAGGCACATAACTGCTGACCCACGGAGACACCCGGTCTCCTGACTGAGCAAGCCCGTACACTGGCACGCAAGAGACTGACTTCGAGAAGTTACTCGGTCTGTTTGCCAGTCTCATCTTTGTTCAGGAAGTGAACAGAAAGAAGAAAAAAGTTGTATTTTTCAGTACATATTCCAAAATATCACTAAAGCATATGTATAAAATCGAGAATAGGTTGTATTTATGAATTAGTTTTGTATGCTTTTTTTAGTGAGTTGTGCTCACAGAAATACATTATTTGCACAGAAAAGTTTGTGAACTAGTCACAGAAGACACAGACATTCTGTTGCAGACACTATTTATTAAAAACATTGTGATTATGAAAAAAATGCCCCTTAATCCTGCAAAATAAACTTCTGTATTGTTTCTTTCACACACTTGTTGCACATTCAAAGTAACCCAACTAAACTGGGAGAAGATCAAACCCGACCACTCACAAACGGCTAGTGCTGTCTTTCTATATAAACGTTAACATTTGTCCAAGATTACTGTCCTTAGAGTGAAACTGAAAGCCCTGGTAACACTACTGCTGCGTACAGAATTCCTTGCAGGAAGATTTTACAAAAGCTGATCCTTCTGCAGCAGAATTCTAAACTGTGAATTACCCTTTCAAGGCAAACAATGAAAACAGTACATGAAATGTGCAAAGTGAAGAAGCAAAGGATGATTCCTTTCTCTAAACCATGCTCTGATCTAGCTTTAGCTTTAACAGTAGCAAAAGCAAATGAGACTGGATGCTAGATGTTCTGTCCAGCATTCATCACTTGGATCATCAGGATCTACATTCACAGGGCTCCAGCTGAATGAAACATTATTTCACATTTTTCATTGATGCAAACTTCTTAGGTCAGGTATTTCACTCTTCATTTCTTCTAGGACATCCCTTGATTGCCTGACCAGCAACTCCTCTAGAATGGATGTGTTTATATTAGCAAATAAATAAACTAATCCAGAAGTCCAAATATGCTTTACCTTCTACCAGGTCAGTCAACTTGGAGTTCATACTCTCCCCTCCTTTTTGGCACTGTGCTCTTTTAAGCATATAGATGACTTTGAACTGGAACTGAACTGGAAACCATCGGTTGATATTAACAGGCATTTTCTTTGAGTTTGTCTCAGCTGGTGGAATCTTTAAGCATGGAAGGTCTCACTAAGAGATGAGAATGGCTTTATTATGGCCTTTTTATTCCTCAAAATTGTTTATTCAAACCCAAATTGTTTATCCAAAAACAAAGCAAACTTTTCTGGTTGTCCAGGAGGAAAAGGTTTCAAAGTTGACAAGTCCATTGACTGCAGTGTCTCCACGAGTGTGCTGTAAAAGCAGAGGAAACAAAAAAAAAGAACAAAACAAAAAATGTTCATCCCAAAGGAGATTTCCCTCCCTGCCCCTAATTTTCTTTCTTTCATACTACCTTAACACTGAAACATGTTCTTTCAAATTGCTATGACACTAAAAATAAGGACTTATGCTGAAATGAAAAAAGAGACTGCATAACTTAGTGAGCCCCAGCCATCACTGGCAGAACACACTTCAACATAAATCACAGCTTTCATGGTCCAACTTAACTCTGACTTTTCAGTCTTCCATGGCTGCAATGATAGTAGATTGAATAAAACCTGAGAATCTTTTCCAATATGGTTTATGGTGAATTCATCCCATGTGAATACATGGCAACATATTGACTCAGCTGTTATCTCTGGCAATCTGTTAGCTTTCAATTATCAGACTGCAAATAAGTCTCAAATGCTAAGCACTGTTCAAAACTGAAATAAAAATACCTTCCTATTCCTGAATGACAGACCTTTGGTTAAGGCTCTTTTGAAACACGCAAAATGCTATTTGGAGGGCAAAAGAACAAGATGCAGAATAAATAACAGGAATTGCATTTCCTCTGCTTTCAGTTAAAAGGTCGTTTGCTGATAATAGAGTGCAACAGATCGTAAACAATCATAAATAAAGAGAAAACAGCCAGATATAATCAAAACAAGGATAGCAAATGAAACTAATAGAAGCCAGAATGAACACGAACAAAAGGAGCTGCGCTTTTTTTTTCTTTTTCTTTTCCTTAAGTGAAGATAGCAAGTCAGTGAAATTCCCTGTCAAAGGATATGATGTGGTAGATTCACAAAATTTGGTCAAAAGGACAGCTTGCTAAGTACGTGGAAGACAGATGTATTTGAAGTTACTAACCCTACAGCACCTGGCTTAGGTCATCCCTGAATCAAACTACTCAAGTGTTAAAGGGAAAATAATAGAAGGAAATGCTTTTCACTCTTGTCCTACATATGGCCGCTGCAGACAGGATACTGAGCTTCATGAACTCCTCGTCCATATCAGTAAAGGCCATTCTTATGTTAGTTTTTTTCCTAAATACTCCAGATATTTTCATTTTTCTTATGCAGTCAACTTTAGTGCACTTCAGAAGGGAAGTCTACATGGCAATACAATGAAATTGAGTAGGGAGCAAGTTACTCCTTATAGCTCATGGTTTTCAACTGTTGGTCTGGGTTGTAGTAGTTGCAGGATTTAAAAAAGAATTAAACAGGAAAGAAAGAACAGAAAGGGAGTTAACAAAAATCACAGAATTGTAAGGATTAAAAGGGACCTCTGGACATCATCAAGTCCAACCCCTCTGCTAAAGCAGGTTCCCTACAATAGGTTACACAAAAAGGCAACTTGGCAGGTCCTGAAAATCTTCACCACCTCTCTGGGCAGCCTGTTCTAGTGCTCCATCAGTCTTACAATAGAGTTCTTCCTCATGTTTTTATGGAACTTCCTGTGTTCCAGTTTCTGCGTTGCTCCTTGTTCTTTGGTTGCTCACCACTGAATAGAGTCTGCTCTCCATCAACTTGACTCCCACACTTCAGATATTTATAAACAGTGCTAAGATCCCCTGTCAGCCTTCTCTTCTCCAGACTGAACAGCCCTAAGTCTCTCAGCCTTTCCTCATACACAAAATGCTCCAGGCCCCTCTTCATCTTTGTGGTCCTCCACTGGACTCTTTTTTGAACTGGGGGGCTCAGCACTGGACACAGTTCTAGATGTGGCCTCACCAGGGCAGAGTAAAAGGGGTAGAATCACCTCCACTGACCTGCTGGACACACCCTTTGTGATCTGACCCCAGGATACCGTAGGTCTTCTTGGTCACAAGGGCACACTGCTGGGCTCACAGACAACCTCTTATCAATCGGGATCCCCAGGTCCTTCTCCCCAGATGACTTTGCCAGCAGGTCACCCCCTAACCTGTACCGGTGCATATGGTTATTCCTACCCAGGCGCAGCACTCCGTCTATGGAAAAGGTACCTATGGAAAATCCACCCTGCAAATAAATGAAAGACAAGCACCCCTGAGGTCTGCGCCCAGCGAGGAAGCTTACTGAGGTACATGGTTAGTGTGATTTTGTTACAGAGAAAGATGTAAGTTTTCTTGCTACATTCTCAATACTGTAATAAGTTATGCCCCTGAGCACTGCATTCGGTTGGACAGCCGCAGCAGCTCCATACCTGCAGTTACAATAGAGAACGTGTCCATCTTTGTGGAGCTGACGCGCCAGCTCCAGCTGATGGTTGTTCATCAGCTTCTCATTTATCACCACAAGCAGCGGCTTTCCTTCCTCTAGAGTCTCCAAACAGCTACCTGCACCTGCAGGAGAAGCAGAAAGCAATCAGTGTTTGCAGCAACCGATGAAACAATCACCCTACTCGCTCCTGAAGCATCAGAGACTCCTGAACGTGGACGTTTTATCCCCACAACTTTCAGCTGTGGACACGAGCATCCAATGCCAGCTCAGCCCGGTGTTTCACAGCGCGGGCCACCACCAACCTCCCCGCCTGCCCCCAGGAGCGCACCTCGGCAACCCGCCAGGCCCCACCTGCGTGGCTTATGACCAGGTCGGCGCTCCGCAGGTCCTCAGCCAGCGACTCCTTGAAGCGGAACACTTCCCGCACGAAGGCCGGGCCGCGCTGAGGGGCGGGCTGCAGCGCGCCCCGCCCGATCTGCAGCACCAGCTGCCGGCAGCCGCGGCTCCGCAGCACCTGCGGCGGAGGAAGGAAACCGGGGGTGAGGCCGCGGCCCAGGACTGCCGGCCCTCCTTCCAGTGCCTCCCGTCCCCGCGGAACGGCTCCCACTTCCCGCCCTCCGCGCGGCTTCGCGCTTCCCCCCCACAGCCGCCCCGCGCAGGCGCGCGGCTGAGGCACAGCGGCCCGGCCGTGAGGGGCGGGCTGGGACCCTCCTCCTGCCGCCCGCCGAACGGGGCGTTCCGCCTCCTCACCTGCTCGGCCGCAGGGGAAGAAACGGCCGCGATCAGCTCGTCGAAGCTGGTAGTGCCCACGGTGACGAAGACGGACTTCATGGCCGGTGACAGCACGCTCTGCCGGCGGTCGAGCTGCGCCTCGGCTGCGGGCAGGCGGGAGCCAGAGGGCGCGCCGGGCCCGTCCCCGCGCTTCCCAAAATGGCGGCCGGCTGAGGGGCGGCTCCCGCTTTCCAGCTCCGCCCGCTGCGCTCCGTGCGGGAGAAGGGTCAGAGCAGGTGCGGCGCTTCGCAGAAGAAAAAAAGTATATTGAAAAAGGGATTCAGTTCTATGAGTTATTTTAGTACTTGCGGTCCGCTGTAACAGGTGGGGGGACCGCTCGCAGCCTGCCGCTCCCACATCACAGCTGCCTGTTCTTTAAAGGCTGTAACTGACCAGGATGGGGTCGCCGGGTTTATCTCATCCCTCCCATGACACTGACTTGCTTCGAGGATTGCTGCCTTTGTAGATGCTACTGTCCCTTCTTTCTTTGCTTCTGTTTCATTCCACTTCCTTCCCTCAAGTCCACGTGGTGGGAAGGAAGGTGTCTCTCGATGGAAGAATTGCCAGAATTAACTAGATTTAAAAAGCCATTTATTTCATTGGAAAGCACACACTTTTACAACCACAAACACTTTCTCTTCAGTAAACAGAAAGTTTGGGAGTTCAGCTCTCAGAATTGAATTTGCCTGCTGAGACAGCACTAACACAGATGCTGCTGCACGCTGATGTAAGTGAGGTCTGGAGATTCACAGCAGGGACTTCAGTGACAGGATGGATGCTTTGCCAGCTGGAGAGCTGAAGCACCATGGGGAATCCTGGGTGTCAGACACTGGAAAGCTAGCACAGTGAAATGCTCTCAGGGAAACAGTCTCTGAGCCTGTTGGTAGTGAAGAAAACATGAGCTATCTAAAGGAGGCAGACTAGGACAGACACAGAAAATAGGAAACTAAGGAATCAGCAGCAAACAAACGTTCAAAATTTTCCATCACCAGCACCCACTGACATTTGCCTAAAGTCACCAGCCCATGTCAGTGGGCTTTTGCTGAACTGGTCTCCTCAACATAAAGATTCTTAATTTTGGCTATATACTGTGCCCGACCCTCCCCTCTTAAAAAAAATAATCACAGATACTGTCATAAACAGAGGAGATGAAAATGCATAACACGTTCTGATTGCAGCTCAGGAGAAGACAAAGGGAAACTGAAATCAAGACTAGGAGTTCTAATCTCCTAATTTCTTTTTCTCACTTTACCACTGACCAGTGGTAGCATCTTGAGGAGGTGTTATGTATCTGCAAAGCTGAATTTAGCAGCTTATCTCCTCTAAAAGTTCCTGTGAAGCTGATTACATTGATGTGCATAGAAATAAGTCATTAAAAAAAAAAAGCAAATTCTTATATTTAAAATATTTTTTTTTCCCCTCTTATCCTCCTTCCCTTGGCCGTTTGAAATGTGCGATTGGTATCACTGAATACAGGTAGGTTTCCTTACTCCCTATTGCCTTTTCTCTAAGTGCACCTCTTTCTGTTGATGTTTCAGGCTGATCTTACTGCCTTCTTAAGACGACTGATGAAAAGTGCTCCCTTGAACAAGTGTGTGTCGGCTCCCGCTGGGCTGTGATTCCAGGAGCCAGGGATAGGAAATCAGGCAGGAGCTGAGGAGGGAGATGGAAGCCTTTTCTGGAAAACATGCTGTTCGTGCTAAGCTGCTTTAAATAGTCGTGAAGATGAAGTCAGCAGTAGATTTATTAACTCAGGTACATTTTCCCTTTTGATGAAATCCTGTTGCGGAGAGAGAAAATGTTTATTTTCCACACAAATGAAGGAAAACAACAAAACATACAACAAGACAAACATGAGGTGTTAAAACAGATTACTCCTGTTATCCTCTTGCATAAAAGGAACTGGCAGCTTTCTTAAGTGTAACACAGCGTATAGCCCTATGAAGAGAAAGCTACTCAAGTTAGATATCTAAATCTATTTATTCCCTGAATTAAGTTTAATATATGCAGTCACAGATGTATGCATTGCTGAGCATTCCAAGAAAGATGTAGAAGATCAAGCCGATCCTCAGGATGCCTCTGATTGCCATGTTAATGGCTCATTCACAATGCTCATTAGCCCCCTGTTGTTTCCATTTAGCATAACAAGCTACATTAAAATTTATTTTTTGATTAAAGCAAATGGTACTAACAGTAGACACAGGAAGAGGGTACTTTATCTTGAGAAACACGTTGTTAAACAAAACAATATCTGTCCTGAGTGCCCAGGGCTTTAGTGGCAGCGACCAGCCTCATGCTGCTCCTTCTGCTCTCTCCCAGAGAAAGGAAGTCAGACACTAAGTAGGGATGCAACACAAGCTAGGCAAAGACCTCACCGACAGGGTGCAGCCCAGGTGCTCCAGAGAAAGGTAACCAGAACAGCTACAACAACAGGTCCAGTCAGCAGTTTAGTAACCACTGGCAAGAATAAGGTAACAAGATATTTCCAAGGTTAAACCGGGAAACCTAAATAGCAACAAAAATTAAGAGGGAAACCATCTCACTTCTTCCTTAACTTAGAGCCACAGCTTTAAGCAAAGCTCCCCCCACTTATTGTATGTCCTCCTACACATCACCACAACCAGAGGTTGTGGGATAAAGGTTCCAGGTGAGGCTGGTCAAGTCAATTAAAACATATTACTGCAATTTAGGGGCCTGACAGCTGATATATAAAAAGTAAGGGTCTAGAATGGTAGAAAGAACACTAAATTTGCAAGTGCATCAAGGATGAGTGCCAACATATCTGTAAACCTTCCTGAGAAAAAGGGTTAATGAAATTATTTTTTTAATAAGGATAGAATTTAATGTATTGAAAAGCTTTCTTTTCTACTTCATTATTTGATGTTAGGTTTCTGTTGTTCAGCAAATTACTGCTTGTTCATAATTAAGGTACTATAACTCAGCAGTTGCATGCTTTTGCTCTGCATAAATAAGTAAATCCATCATGGTGAGGTAAGTCTATGCATTCATTCTTCAGTTATAACAAGTTGAGAATGCTTGCCACTGTTCCTCAGCTACGATCTTGATTTCAGCTATCCAGTGGTAACTTAAAGTTCCTATCAACTAAGGTACTCTAAGCTACTGTCTGTATACGAGCAGCAAATTGTTTATGCTTTCCCTATTTGTTCCTTCAAACTTCAACATGCATGTAAAGTTAAATGAAGATGCTTTTAATAGTTAGTCTTTCTGATCCTTAAGTGAGAAATTGGAGTGAAGGCTTCCCTGTACTACCATAAGTTAAACTCCACTCTCTTAACAATGCTTTGGGAGACTCACAATTTAAATGAAACACTGAACTTTTTAGGAAGATACTGTCTTAAGTAGCAGTAAACACAAGTAGGTTAAGGGAAAGACGAACAACAATCACAACCCCTTCTTCAGAATTTTGGAAGAATTTCTGATATCAAAGTAGTGCTTTTCATCTTTCAAGAAGTAGAAGATCTGATTGTACAAGAGCATAGTGCTTGAAAGACATTTAACTATACTTAGCAGGTTCCTAAAACAAGTCTAATGTTACTAGTCAAATAGCAGCAGTCTTTCAGCTTATTCAAAAAATGTCATAGTAAGCACCCGTATAGTACTTTACAGGTATTATAGTTGGAAAAATTATCACAGTGAAAAAGAAACAATCAAAGAAGAAACATTCACCCATATCCTAGGCTTGTAGTGGAAAACTCCAAAAAGGTAGAATCTCTGGAAAGAGGTCCTTCTCCAGGGCCAGTCAGACCTTAAATGGGGTCTAGGAGGGGTGGAGCCAGGCTCCAGCCCTTCTGATCACACAGGTGAATTGCCTTCACCTGTGCTCCCATGGCTTACTGAGTTCTTGCCTCACGTGATCAATCAGTGATTCAGGCCGTGACTCAAACAGTTCCCATACAGCATCTATCAATAGAGAGTCTTTAACATACAATCATTTTTTGTTGGTCTTGTGGAAAATACTTGTAGGGGAAACTGTTAGGTTGTGGTCTGAACTGATGATTGGACACCTGGTACAGTGGTATGGCTGGCCCAGGAAGCACAGGTGCAAACAATTAACCTGTGCAGTTAATACCATTCTCCTTGTCCTATTAATACCATCCACAGGAGGAAGATTGACTTCTAACATGAACAGATAGCAATAGGAGAGGGGGAATGGTATCAAACTGAAGGAGGAGAGACTTAGATTAGATATAAGGAGGAAATTCTTTACTCAGAGTAGTGAGGTAGAGTAGAGGCTGTCCAGAGAAGTAGTGGATGCCCTATCCATAGAGATGTTCAAGGCCAGGTTGGGTGGGGCTCTGGTCAGCCTGATCTAGTGAGTGGCAATCCTGTCTACAGCAGGAGGTTGAGACTAGATGAGCTTTAAGGTTCCTTCCATCTTATTCCAGCTTGATGTTTTCAATGTGTTACTGAAAAGTCAATGTCTTCTGCGGTTTATGCTCACAACATTGCCCTGTTTAGGGACTAGAGGGGAAAAAAAAACAACTCACAAATAAACTTGCTTTGGAATTTTCACTGAGCAATGGAGTTTCATTCCACTTGCACGCTGAATTAGGCTTGTTAAGGTGGACTTAAACTAAAATGGGTAAGGAAAGGGGAAGTGATTCATTGAGGGACTCAGTCCCATCCTCATTTGTAATGTAGGCCATAGGCAGGCTGAGTGCTTATGTATGATTCATTTGTCTGTAAGAACTACACATCAGTCGCAGAATGATTTATTTGAAGCTGGTCCCTGCAGTTCTAAGGCAGGAGAAGATCAGGTAATCCAGACTTTGTATTATGCTTTGTTCTTGTCTGTTTTGTCCTGTGCTGCCCTTGTGCTTTTATGGATACTTGTACAAGCACACAGGAATCTAGCTCAGAGTGATCTGGCAGATTTAACTGCATTTGTTCACAGTTAATTTGGTTCCCTGAGTTACACAGGCATTAATATGAAAATGCACACATAAAAAGACAGGATTGTGGCATGTTGGGTTTAGGTAGGTGCAATTGCCTAGCTTTTAAGCCAATGTCTACCTCTTGATTGCCATTAGTAGCTGGGATGGCATTCTTTTAGCCATGTGATTCAGGCAGTGAGTGACTGCTGTGTTTGGGGCAGAGTTTGTGTGGAGCAGTCCCTTGCTTGGGCTGAAGAGTCTTTGCAGATCTAGTTGTCTCTCTCTAGGCTACATGTGTGCACTGAGGGAGTGTGAGATGTTTATTCAAAAGAAGTATGGGGTCAAGCTGACATAATGTAATCAAAACCCAAGAGAAAAGTTAGAAGAGGGATGAAATAGATGATATTTTCCGATGAGAGCTTGTGGCCATCTGTGCTTTATGTGGCATAATTTATATTGTGGTATCATTTTCCCATGACAACATCTGGGCAAGAGACTAGAGATGGACTGAGCGCAAGCTGGTTTTTGTTAGGTGAGAGATTATGTATGCTGCTTTCTTTCTCCTTAGTCTTTCTTTGAAATGTTCCTGGTTTTCTTTTGATGGCTCAGTTTTGAACACTGTCCCTTTGTGTTCAACTCAGCTTGCCATAGTTTGCCCTGAAAACTCCATAATCATATTATTCACCCATAAGAAAGTGCATGAAAATAAACTACTTAGTTCACATCTTGCTTTTTGAAAACTGTATATTGCCTTCAGTTTGCTCTTGGAGACTAAGGACTACTCACAACTGCTATAATTAAATTTTGGCAGGAGAAAAGTAAAGAAACCTGTAAGCCTGCAATGTCTGATTTTGTTTGAAGGAGAAGAGTTTTTAATGACTAGTTAAAACCACAAACCTGTCTTTCCTTTACTTTGCATTTCATGTCCAGTATGTTTCTCCTTTTGGCTTGGATACAGTGGATCACATGAGGGAGTATATTGTTTCATTTATTTTTACACTTTTGTTGATTTGCAAGATAAGTAAAGATGAACTGGTGTTTCTTGTTGACTTCATATACATTTAAACTGAAAAAATGTTTACTTTTCCTCTCTCGTCAAGCTGTGATGTGGTCCCTGTGAGGGACATTTCTGTTACTGCAGGGAACTGTCAAAATTTTACGGAGTATATTTGAGGGAATTATTCCTTCATATTAATGTGATTCAGAGATGCTTGTTGTGGGAAAATGACAGGAATGTTTGTCAAGCAGAGTTAAATGGTATACTTTGAAATATTTCATCACAACACTTCTATACACTTGAATTGTCACTTTATGGGCTTGTTATTTTACAGTGAGGTTTTTAGGCCTGGAGATGCACAAAAGCTCTAACTGAATGTTGACAGTGAAGGGAGTGTTAGATAATCTCTTCCTCAGGGCCAACTAAGAGGGCAGATGCTGAAGCAACACAAAAAAGCTGTGTCCACCGACTGAATATCCCACTTCTGTGGTGGGAGAATGGGCTTAGCTAGAGTGAGCATTGTATCAGTTCATATCTGACTACTCTCATGGATTCTTTTTTTTTAAATACTTGGTGGCACCCCCTCAAAGCTCCAGGTTTTGGAGTTGTAATCATGATTTTTAAGGTCTTCTGCTTCTGGAGAGGAGATTGAGGGAAAAATTACTCAAGTGAATCTTAAGGTCCTTAAGACTAAGGTATAAATAATACTTGTATATCTGTAACTATGTATCTTTTTATTGCTTCTGTTTACTTTGTATTTAAACAGTGTCAGGATTTTCTGAATCCTGACTTTCGGAAGCTCTGGGCTTACTATTCTGTGCCAATGAAAGTGAAGTTCTACTGGACTTTGCTCCACATGTAAAGCAGATCATCTTTACAATTGGATATAGTGTGTACTATGTGAATACTTGCCATAGGAAGTGTGGCTCAACTGACCTGTTACTTAATGTCTCTGGATAGGCTTCTGTCAAGGAAAAATTACTTGCATTATAGAACCAGAATATGTTCTGGGCTTAATATGACATAAAATTTTTCCAAGTTGGTCATTTCCAATGAAAGGTGGGAGGTTGTAAAATAAATAATTTGAAGAATATTTTCAATACAGGCTGGTGTACAGGCATAGGAGGCAGGCTGAGCTCTACAGCAAGGCGTGTTATCGTGACTAGATATTGTGATGTCTCTTGGCAACGGGTCTCTTCAGTTCCCCAGAGAACATCTGCTGGTGACAGTGTAGCACTACTCCTTAGTGTGCGTGGAAAGCATGTACTGCTACTCCTGCCTACTAGCTACTAGCAAGCATCTCCACAGCAAAACACTGTGTGAATGCCTTGCTGTTTTATATCTCTGCATAATCCCTCTGACAACCAAATCTATTAAAATTCATTTTCATCCAGGTAAATCCAACTCCCTGAAATCAATTGAGCATTGTTCTTTGAAAGCATCTTGTGCTGGTGTGCATGTAATTAAATCCTGAGGTGGCTTTGCATGCATTCTACAAGCATCAAGATGCAGTCCATGTTTCAATTTTTCTTTTTTCTGATGTTCAATTTTAAGGGAATTAGAATATTACACTCAAGTAAACATCTTTATGTCTTTAGTAAGGATCTTTGTTGAATGGAGTTCCTCCCTTTGCCTAGCCACTCCCTATTGTGCAGGTACATAAAAACATCTGTACTCACCACACATCATAAGAATTGATAAGGAGAAGTCCTGTCTAAATTTTGCCTTCTGTGTGCTTATTATTTTCTGATGGCTCTCAGCAGCAGCAATTTTTGAAGGCACTTTGAGTTGCTCTTCAGAATTCTTCAGGGATTCTGAAGTCACTCTACTGATAAAGTTACTTTGGACTTTGGAGGGATATAGACAGGCTGAATATTCCATACTGTATTCTAATCCTGCATGAGTAGAAAACAGAAAAGCATGGGAGTTGTGCGAACATGATCAGTGGCATTCATACCACTAGAGGGCTGCCTGCATATGCTGCATTGATCAAAAGGCATCAAGCATGCAGGCTCCTTTTTTTGTTTAGCCATTGCATTGCGATGAGTATTTTTACATTTGCAATTACTTTTTTCCTTCTCAAACTGGCTGTCAAAACCAAAGTGAAGAACTGAAAACATGACATGTACTTCCAAGCCTAACAATGGAGGTAGCCACCACGGTTCTGCAAAAGGCCTTAAATATCAAAATATGTCATACACTGAATCTGCCTGTTGAAATATTGTTCAAAGGGACTGAACCATCTGCATCCTCCCCAGGCCTTTGCACCAGAGGCAGGGGTGCTAAAAGGAGCAAAAGAGTTATGATTCATTTATTTTTTTGCATTAATAAGATGGTAAAATATTATTTACATCTCAGTTTTATTGGCATTAGGGATCAAAGTGGCCACTAGATACTTGCTGAAACTGTTGAGTTCAACTTGGAGATTCTTTAAAAAGTTCTGTCTGAACCACCTTTTGTTTGTGTGCTTATATAACAATCATGCTGAGGAGTACTGATGAAGAAATATTTTTGTTATGCGCACTTTGTTTATGACCTTTTTTATACCACTAGAAATGCTACAAATATTCTATGCAGCGGCAGACCAAAAGATTTATATTATGCAGTAAATTTCACAAAGATGTTAATTTATTTATTTATTTATTTATTTATTTTAATGTACTAAGGATGTATGTAGAGAGAGGTGTAACAGATTTCTGTTAACGCTTAAGGCTGGTAAACTTTTGAGCATGTATCCCAGTGCACTGTACAAACATATACTCTTATTTAGGTATCAAAATATGGTAGAGTCTTCCTTCGGGATTTCTTGCATTGTAATTCCAAGATAATATTGATCAGTTTAAAATAAAGTTCTTTTGTTAGAACACACTCAAATATTGGATCAGATTAATCCTAGGTGCAATTGTATGGACTTGGATCTAAAACAGATCTCAGTGTTGTATTTGGGAGAGTCATTATTGCTGTGTGCACTAATGTCAAAGCAAGGCTGTTTTGGATTATTTTGTTCTTAAAGGAAGTGTTACTGAACTCACTGTAATCCCATTTTCTCTACCCTATAGCATAGTTATGCATGACCACCTATACTTTCATCTACAGTAACGCTGTCTTCATTTCTTTCATGAAAATAAGAGATATTCAGATATAGTGGTTATTCATTTATGTAAGGCTTTATATACCGATGTTTCCTGTTAGTGACACACTACAAAGTGCTGTTCTTGTTACTGCTCCATATTAAAACAGTGATTCATTGTTAAAGAAATTATTCCAAATGAAGGGCCTTGGTTTTGATTTATCTGACTTTTAAGTACATCATAGATTGTGCTGGCAGCTGAGAGTAAATTGAGGTCTTTAATCAATCCAAAAGAGAGGTAGAACTTAACTTGGCAGAAATACAAGTATGTCTCTGCCTGGCCTGGGAGATGGAACTGTAAGGCTTAAAATTCTTCGTACTTCACAGCATGGCCCACTTCTTTTGGTAATAGCACTTAGCTTTCAGTGAAGATGTGGGCAATTGGTTATTAGAAACTTGACTGAGGGGGCTTGCAGGCTGCTGGGCAACCATTATATAGAAGTGCAGCAGGTTCCTATCAGTGTGTTGAACTTGACCCAGTGCCTTCACCATGAAGCAAATAAAATTATTTTTCTTTTCTTTATAAATTGATATAATTGTCTGGCAGCACCCACTATTGATACAGTGACACTGCTGGCATAATTAGTAAAAATAAGTTAATTTTTCTGAATGTAATGAGCTTGGATGTTGAAATGATTCATATCTAAGATTAAAAGGAAATGTTTTCTGACCTACAGTGTCCCATTTCCCTTCAGGGTCTTATATTTCTGTCATGATAGGCAAAATCATTCCCTTTGGGTTCTCTGCACCTGGGAATTTATTTTTCACTTTGTGAGTTGGTGAGGACTCGTGAAATTTCTTGAGTCTGAGTCTGGACTTACACAATGTATTGCTGGGATATTATGCAAGTCACTTAATGTTTTGTTTGCGAACAGAATAGCCCAAGGTGCTAATTAGCTAGAATAATTGCATATACATAGAATGCTGTTTTCTTCCATAAAAATAAATCTGTGATTGAGATGAATTTAACTACGAGCTTAATTATGTGCATCCTTGGTTTCTGAAAACAGCAAGATAATAGCAAATATTTTTGAGTGGTGTTTTCTATTTTAACCAAGTATTTGTAACTTTTTAATTGGTAATATCACTAGTCCTTGTTACTGATTTGTTAGATGAAATAAACTGTTTAAATATTGTTTTCCACAAAGTCTGACCTCAATATCTGTTTCTAGTGGTCAGTACTTTCATTCTGTGATTGTAATCAACTGTTACTGTGTAGTCTGGAGCAATATTTTTTGTGTGTTTCACTT